AATGGTGGAGTTGTTGATAGTTTAGTCCTAATGTGAAGAGTTTTAATTTCGAGGTTCTACAGCCTGAACGCACGGACTTTTGTCCCCATGTTCGTTAGTGCATGCTTCAGGATATTCCGAATGCAGAGACGTGCTCAACTTCAAGGGCGAAAAGCGAATGTTTGAAGAATATCGGAATGGGATTAGGTCCAATTAGAACAGTCTCAGACTTCTCCTTCCCCAGATCGCGAGACCCAAAGTCCTGACACTTCTCCCATCTCACTCATGACGAACACAAACCTCACCCACACCTGCCCAACAACAAGCAACGAAAACCAAATTTCCAGTACACACAGCACAACCACAATCCTCCTCAACTTCCTCAACCCATCCGTCACCAATCCCTGAAACACATCACCTTCCCATATCAGAGACACCATGAAGTAAGTCAGCAACGTTATGAAATATGGACTTCGAACCGCTTTTCCAAAGAAGTAGAGCTCCGGGATCCGATCAAACATGTAGTCGAATGTCTGCTCACAGACAATCTCGAGTGCTGGCATGTCCGCTTGACGTGCATCGCGATTCTTGTAGTAGATTTCTCCGCTTAGGATCCGGAAATATTGTCGTTGTTTGCAGATCTGGATTGTGGATCGCAGAAGATCGGGGACTAGAAAGTAGAGCAAGGTGAGAGTCTGAATGGTGTTGAAGACGCGCCAGGCAGAAGATGACATGATATTCTTCGAGCTGAGGTAGGTGCAAAGGCTCTTGAGATAATCATGTATATGGCAGGATTGGAAGTCTGCGGTGCTGGATGGATTATCCTAAGTATGGATAGAAACACTATTCACACAGAACTTCAAAAGAGACACAATAACATCCGGTCGAAACAAAATTTATGAATCATTGTCTACGAATATCACCTGGTCTTCTAGAGATGAGTGTATTCTCTGCTGCAAACTCTGCAAATGCAAGGAATCTTTGCGATAATAACTCACCAACAGGAAGAACCAAAGTTCTATGTTCATAAGACATTGGACAAAACCCTTTCTCTTGTGTCTTGCCCTCACAAATTCAAAAAGTGCAACCGAGAAGGTAAAAAATCACAAATTCCTCTCCCTCCTCCTCTCTTCCTCCGACATCACCTCCATCTCCTCCCGTCCCGTCCTCTCTCCTCTAATTCCGCACAATAATAATTGCACCCCATTGCTCAGGATCATCTGCATCCAATCCAAAAACCCAAGAACAACAGCCATCATAACCATAACCCAGACGCCAAAAAGCGCAAGTCCCCAATTCATCCTCCACTTCGATTGCGAGCCCTTAACTGATATTTGGGGTCGAGTGTAGTCGTAGTAGGAAACTGAGGCCGTGAAGAATAGGTAGGTGCCTTGGCGTAAGATCTGGAGGATTGAGAGGATGAGGAGGAGTAGGAGGAGGGGCGCGAAGAAGACGGCGGTTTTAAGGAGGCGCGTTAGGATGATGAGGGTTGAGATTAGGGGTTTGGGGATGTGCTGAGACTTCATTTTGATGAATGAGGATAGAATTCTGTGCTTGTCGGGAGATGGGCGTGGATCTGATTTAGTTTTGCGTTGTCGATATTTGGTGTGTAGGCAGTGGAAAGGTTGTAGGATATGTGCTAATACGTTCACTGTGATTCACACGCAAGTCGCAAGTTTATGAATCGGAACTATCCAACAATCGAACATGAACGGATGCCATTGTATTCGAAAGGATTCAATTCTTCTAATACTAAAATATGCATCGCGTTGCTATCCTACGCAAACAAACAAACGCTTGATTGGACTCTACTGATTGCTGACAATCACCTTGCTGTTGCGCCACTTCGTTCACCTAGCGAAGGACCATCTCCCTTCATCACTGCCCCTCATCGACCTTGCCATTTTGGATCAGCAGGATTATACTGATTCCTGGGTGCCTGACTTAGACCACTTTGCGCTCCTCCTTGTCCAGGATCGATCCTTTCCTGCACCTGCTCTTGTTGACTCTGACCTTGTTGCTGATAGTGAGGCAAATGTGTTTGCGAACTTTGAGGGGGTACCTCGGGGTGATAGCTCTGATAGTTTCCTTGATTGCCTTGATTCTGGACGGAAGGCTGCGTCGAGTATTGCCGAGGAGGAGGCTGTGAAACATTCAGTTGCTGAGGCAGACCCATTGGTAGCTGAGTTTCCTGAGGTCGAGAGGGATTGTATGGCTGGCTGTAAGGGCTGTAACTCTGTTGCTGATGCTGACTCCCGATGCCTGGTGGTGGACCAGATGGTCTCTGAGCGGGAGGCTGTGTTTGATATTGTTGGAAACTGGAGGTAGAGTAGCCCTGCTGAGGATGCTGATACACGGGCGCTTGACCAACTTGACCTGTCCAAGTTCCTTCTCGAATAGCTTTCTTGCGTTGATATGCTTCCATAAGTACTTGCTTGATAGTCTGTTCTCCGTCATGGAAGTTCTGCATGCTCACTTTGACCAACATATCGATCTGCTCTGGAGTCCAGACGAGATTGTATGAGCCAGAGAACTTGGCTGTGGAAGGGTCAAAATCGGGTACCGCTCGCTCATTAGGTAGCAGAGGCATGTATACCATGGTAGATTCGTGATGACAGACTGGGGCTGGGGGGTTCGTTACGGTGTTTCCATATGAATCCTTGACTGTAGCTGGACGCTCACACAGAACTCCGTCGTAGATTTGGGCATAGTGACCTTGGAATCTATCGGGATCCTTTGTATCTTCTTTTGGCTTGAGATCTGTTCGACGAGTGAATTTTAAGCCTCGACGATAGCCGATCTGGTCGACTCGTTCTTGGAAAGTGTCTTTTTGGACATCACTGGATGCATCCATGTTCAAGATTACATCCACTTCTCGAGATGGGTGAAGCAGAACATAAGTGGGGCAGTTATTGTCCATTCCACCATCAACAAGATGAATTTGGGGAGAGTTCTCCAGTCCGGGAGGGTACGCTTGTCCTGGCTGCAACTTGGAAAAGTGGAAGAGGAAGTTGTGCTCGTTGGATGCATGAAGTGGATGATGATTCGTGAATTCCTCTGTACCTTTCTTACCCCAAAGTTTGGAAACCTTGGAAGCAAGTTCTTCAATCAAATTCCCAATGAAGTTCTGGGGAAGCGCTCGCTTGATTGTTGCGAGGTATGATTCGAGGGGACCAGCTGGTGCTCCAGTTGCCAATCCCAAGAGCAGAGACAGTGACTGTTCCGGAAGTTGCATCGTGGACCTCCCCTCAGAAAATGGTCTTCCAAAACCCCACGTTGGTACCCAGGCCTGAAGCTCGTCGCAGCCAATCTCAAATGGAGTCATCTCGAACCATTGAAACCATGCGTCTTTCTCATCCTTTTCGTCTTCAGCAAAATCTCCCTCGAAAGCATGGTCTTTGTCGACCCAATCCTTCCACGGTCGCTCATGACGGATGGCTGTGAGAATATGAAGTGGCTCTTTTCCACCTTGTAGGTGCTCGATCGCCTGAGACCATTTATACCAAGTATGTCGGTGTCCAGCAACATCTTTCCCAGTCTCATGATCAGCATGAATGAACACGTACCCAGTCAAGAAGACGGAGTAATAGTCCATAGGCACAGCATGAAGACCACTATGTTGCTTGATAGCCACAGGTGCAAGTGTGGCATATGGACCATCATGAGTCGTGAGCAATTTTCGAATCGCATCAGCTGATAAAGGATGATGAGGTGACAGTCGATGCTTGTAGTTGTCGATTGTTCTCGACATACTCGCTTCGCCAAATGTATAATAAGCAGCGAACGCCCAGCATGCACCTGAAACGCCAGCAACGTAGGTGAGTGCATCCCATAATCCAGTTCGCTTCATCTCTTCAGAGTATCCAAGCACGCCAATCATGGCTCTGAATCCACCTCCGCTACCTCCAAAGCCGACAGTTGGGACATCATCCGGATGGACATCTGCGGGATTCAAACCGAGATAGTTGGCGAAAGCATTTCGAACCTTCACCTTTCTGTCAGACAAGAATCGTTGCTCGGGTGGTGCAAGATTGAGTCCCCGACGGACTTCGGCAACATGTCCGACCTCAGGATACCGATTTTGGTCATGGATATCCTGCTTGGTATTTGATTGGATGGTGATTGCTGACTTGATGATTCCAATGTCGGTGATGGCTTCAGGGAACGCTGGCTTGACCACATCGTTCCAGAAGCTTTTAGGGTCGGTCTTTGATCTTTGATTTGATGCGTGGTTGGAATTGAAAAGACCTCTACTTCCGTCTGCTGGAGGACTGGGCTCCTTCAGAGTCTCTTCAGACTCGAATTGATGTCGTCGACGGAGGTTCTCGAGCATTTCTCGCTCATATTCCTGCTGCTCAGCCGTCTCGGACTCTCGAGTGTATTTCCTTTTGGTATCAGTATCTTATTCTGTAAATTCATAACAAATACAAACTTGTAGGTAGACATCTCAGCAGTGCCTTTAAAGTATCTTGGTTTGATGGTTCTTGATTAGATAATCTCGCGGTTCTGATGCTCCTCCTTGACGAGGACAATTGTACTTGGTAACACAGTGAAAAGTCTTGAGAGACTATGTGCCACAGGCGAGGATCGTGGCTGAAAAGGTGAATTGGGTTTACCGCTTCGTGTCTCGCCCTTATGCGTTGTTCTTTTGAACTGAACCAGCTAAAGTAAAAAAGCGTCCGCACCAAAGTATTTATTATTTCCTATTTATCTTTGACAGGACGTTGGAGATTGACACGAAATCCGGATAACAGGTCATATTCCGATGCAGGTACAAAGTGAACCAATAGGAAGCTTGTGTGTTGGACCGTGGCGGGATGCTTGTAGGCGTGACTACCGCCAAGACATACAATTTAATAATGAGTATCCTCAACATAACTAGATAGAAAGGTTTTCATTACCATACACTTGATAGAAAGGTATTCTAACTCAACTCTTTCCTTGTCAAGGTGACCTGTCACGTGAATGTAATCACATGATGTATTTCCAACATGCTCAGACTTCTGGCAGCGTGTTGTTTTCTAGGTCGGCATTAGACTTGCTTCTAGGTAACAGGCAATGTGAAGTGAATTAGAAGCCAAGGACTCAGAAAGTTGTTCATTTGAGGGAAGCAGCTTCGGCTAGCACACTGTCGCTAAGGCCCCTTCCCCTTGCTCAAAGGTAACGATTGACTTGATCTCGAATTTTTTCTCGCAAAATCATTTGCAGAATGTAGTTCCCTCAACATATTGAACTGCAACTCTCAATAACGGCTAACACTGCACAGACAAAGACACAAGCAAACTTAAAGCATGCTTTCCGGGTCTTTTCCTAGCTTAGACCTTCCAACTTCCTCCTTGATACTCCTTGAACTCAACGATCAGCAAACGGCAGCAGTTCCTTCGAGAATCAACTCTTCTACTGCACCTTTCCAAACAAAGCGAGTCTCAAGCAGTGAGATCTATTTATTTCAGAGCTCAACTTCGAGACCCTCGCAGTTTGCGAATCTCGCAATAAGCCCACGTCCACGTACCAGCGCAAATCAAATCACAACGATGAAATCATCTATACAAATCGACGGTATGTTTTCTGGTCAGATTGAGCGAGCAAACTCATCAAACGGTAGATACCAAAAAGTCCTCCTCACCAGATCACGCGCAATCTTCCAATGCAAGTACGCCGAAGTCGACAATTTCCTCGTCGCTTTTAGCCAGTATCGGTCACAATACAGTAACTCCTCCTATCGAGGCCAAACGTATTAAGATTCGCATAAAGATGAAGAAAGGCTCCCCTGGGAAGAATTACCACCCGAGTTGCGCGAGCTAATTAGCTAATTTTCGAAGAAGTGTCAACACCGAAAACGATAGGACGTGGATATGCGGTCCCATACTTCTCTTGGATGGTGCGCAAGATTCCTGCACTTGTGATTGATCTGGGCTCATTGCCAATTTCATATTCACATGTCCTCGAATACTTTTCTTAAAACCAATGGCAATATCTTGCGCCAATGCCGGCTAACAGATCTACGTAAGTTGAACAACATAGAACTAGCAAGCATCCGGTATATTGGTTTGGAGATTCACTGGCCCATCAAACACATACAGGGAAGAGAAGTCTCCGATAGATTCTATGAGCCTCCGCAACAGTTTGCCAAGCTTTGCTCACATTTACCCAATGTCTGCGGTGTGGAGATCGAGCTCGGTGGCTGGCAATACTTGACGTGGAAAATATGGCAAAAATTTATCTGCGAATTTCCATTCTGGCTCAAGGGATTCAAGTCTCTTCAGTGGCTCGAGGTAGACCTACCAGCAGAAAAAAATTGTCAAGGGCTCGTGGCGGAGAAGGTACTGCGCACGATTGAGCTAATGGTCCTTAAGAAGACTGGTATTGAGGGAAAGAAGGTCAGAAGCTTCACTGACGAGAAAGTTGAAGGACATGATGCGAGGTGGATGTTAGCAGAGACTTGGCGATGGGAAGCTGCTGAGGGGAAGAGCATGGACTAGTCCCAGGACATCGGCTTTACATGGACTGACGACATGGCCAGAGTTATTGATGAGAAGTATGATGATTTGACTAACGGGGGCGCTCAGCAGAGACAAGGAAGATTGCTGGAGAGAAAAGTAGCTATGTTGAGACTTGCTAAGAATTAATACAAATAACTTTTAGGTGACCATTGACTATTCACTTTATCTTTGCCAAGCTTCCCGAGGTCATCTTTGACTTGTGGGGTCATCATCTTTAGCTACATGGCTGCAGCAGAAATGATAATGGGTACCCAGGGATCTCTAACAAGGCGGCTTCTCGATATACCAGAATAGGTTTCCAAATGATTGAAGAGCTCACCGTACATGGTTTTATCGTAATAAGGCAGGATCCAAAAGGGGTAGCTTCGGTTGGCACACTAGCGCGCTTTCTCCTTCTATCTTCTCTCCGAACCTTCGAACCAAATCTTGAACATACGTTCAACACACTAATTCGCAACTCGTCTTCATCACATCATCGAGTCTCAAATCGCAATTATGGCGTCAAATACGGAATACAACAGCTCCCTACCCAACGATGCACAGCGTTCGTCCGCCGCGAGCTCGGCGCACGAGCAATCCGTGTCTGATCTGATCACTTTCGCCGTGGAAGATAGTCTCAACACCTCGTTGGATTTCGATGAATCTTGTGCCTCTGCGTCTGCTCAGATGATGGAGGGGATAATGTCCTGGTTGTCGATTCAATCGAAATCTCGTACCTCAGTCCCAGCACAAGCTGCATCTGTCCCCTCCTCCCCACAACTCCCAGGGAGCGACCATCGCTTCATCTCGAAACCAAACCCCCAAGGTGGCCCTTCGACTTCACATTACAACAGGAAGGAGGGCTTCTACTGGGAGAACTTGCCCACAGAACTTCGCCAACAGATTTTCGACGAAGTAGAACGTGCTACACCTTCCCATCCATACTTCAAAAGGACTAAGAAACTTCCCGCTCTGGTAGTCGCACTGCGAGGCGTTTCAAATGCCCAAGCACATATCCTCGAGCATTTCCACAAGATCAACAACGGCATTCTTCACCTAAAGTGCCCATCAGCGTTGAAATCCATGGACAAAGTTGAGCTAGCCAGTATTCGGCATCTCAGCCTAGAGATTCACCTACGCAACAGGACCAGTGTCGTGGATGGATCCATTACCCGACCATATGAGAGTCCCGACGAATACGCAAAGCATTTCTTGAACCTACCCAACATCCGTGGAATCAAAGCCCGACTCAGTTACTGGGATTCACGCGAAACGATCCACTGCAAGCACTTCATTTGCCATTTTCCACTCTGGCTCAAGGCGTTCAAGAACCTGAGGTGGGTGGAAGTGGATATCCCTAGAACATGTGACGAAGATGGGTGGACTTTGGACCATCTGTCGAGCTCAGATTTGGAGCTAGGCCTCAGGGCGCGGATACAAAGATGGAATTTTAGGCGGACGGAGTCCTTGAGATGTCCCGAGATTTGGAGATGGGAGGTTGAAGGAGAGGATGGTGGGATGGATTGGTCGCAGGACATTTGGTTGCGGTGGAGGAAAGTGTATCCTCGAGGGTCGACTCATCCAGATACATTGTTCATTAGCCTTAGGGATTGTTTGGTAATGTAGACTGTTTCTGCTTCTTGTGTATGGGAATCCTCGAAAGCTATATCTCTCGGAGTAAAGATTGCTAACAGGAACTCAGATGCAGAGGAATCATGTTGCAAGACTCTACACCGGGGCCTCTGTTCACATAAGGCAGGATCCACTAGAGTCCTCATACAACTATATTCCTCGCCCTCATTGAGTGTCATGAGATGACTGCCCTTGGAGGGGGGAAGGTCCGAGTCACATGATAACATAATGGTTCAAATATTTTGCGAGTCACGACCCTAGACTACTCATACCTAACAAACAAAGAGTCTATACACACGTCGAATTCTTCATCGTATCCTCACCCTTTTTATGGACTTCTCTGTCTAGCACACACGTGATCGGAAGTGCGTCGGCTTACGGCGCTCACTCGCGCTAAGAATTTATGCTTACTTCATCGTCGGAAGTCAAACTCTCTCGCCCAATTTATTGACTTGAAATTTCGATCTCGATGCAACATAAAGGGAAAGCACAAATGAAAACTTCTGCTCTTGAGGCTCTACAGCACGCGCCCTAAAATCGACAGAAATTCAAATTCACATCCAACACCATGATGTGATAGCATATGATAGGAGAAAGAAGGGAAGGGTATTTTGGGTCTGAGTAAGACGGGAGAAAGTTTGAGATTTTCTAGGAGGTGGAAGAGATGTAACGCTTCGGAATTACCGCCCCAATCAAGCCACCGAGCCTCGTTTCTGACTTCGAATTTTCTTTCTTTCGCTTCATAATTCGAACTCTGTACATCCCACGATATTATACATCAACTCTCAAGGATTCCATCAGCAACAACCGCGTACGATTTTTTCATCGAGATGACTGCATGTCCATGAGTCAATCTCCCCCTATCCCTGCTTGCTAAGTATGGAATCACGCCCCCTACCTCACAAGGATCATGGAAGCCTCCCTTTCCCATTCTATAAAGTACCCCAGTATTAACAATTCCCTCCCGTCACACCCATTACCCTCCCCTCCCCCTATTGGCCCGGACCCCTTCGCGCCTCCTGATAACGCTTCTTCCGAGTGGCTCCACCACCCATGATCACCGTTCCACCAGCAGGGATGGACGGGACTGGCGTTTTGCTGCAGCGCCCACGAATCCCCGCAATTCTCAGCCTTGGCAGCCGCGCTATGTCGTAAGATGCTTTCTAGCGCTGATGCCGGTTGGGCGAGCAGGAGGAGGAAATGGAGACGCATTACCAATTTGTGTGCGGGATCGGCTAGGGGGGATTATTTGGTTCATTGATTGATCGAGTGATTGATACTGTAGCTGGGATGATAGCTGGAGTGGAGAGGCCATGAATGGGAGGGGGCAGCACTTGAACTGATGGGGAAGGTAAAGGGAGCGTTGAGCCGAACGTCGCGTGCTGCTTGAGGGTTGCAGATTTTGCTTAAAGAGTTGAAGCTCCCCCAGGACATATTTACTTCCAAGAGAAGCTTGTCTGTCGGTCGGACGTCCTCCTCCTTCTTGGCTCTGGGAATACGTCCACTTACCCACCACCACCACCACCACCACCACCACCAACGAGTAACTGAATCACCACAGCCAAGCCACCAAAATGTCAGACCCCCAATTCCCCGCCAGCAGCGGCGACGAGGAAAAAGGCACCAAGTTCTCCAATGGCGGCTCCTCGGTCCCCGAATGGGATGCAGGCGGCCAAGCAACGCATCGCGAGCCGTGGCAGCGCAGGTTCGTCGATAGCTTCAAGCGGGATCCGAACGCGACGGTGACGCGCGCCGCCGAGACGGGGAAGGGTGCTGGGTTTGATCATCGGGCTGCGGCTGAGGCGACGGCGAACTCGGGGTTGGCGAGGAAGTTGAAGGGGAGGCATATGCAGATGATTGCGATTGGGGGGTCGATTGGTGAGTTTTGGCTCTGTTGGTGATGAGGTGGGTGCGTGGGTGCGTGGGTAGGTGTTGATGTGAAGTAGGTACGGGATTATTCGTTACGTCGGGTGCAGCGCTTGCGGGCGGTGGTCCAGCATCTCTAATTATTGCGTATGGAATCATCGGGATCCTCATGTTCTGCACGGTCCAGGCGTTGGGAGAATTAGCTGTTGTGTTCCCGGTTGCGGGATCATTCTCGGCGTACTCGACTCGGTTCTTGGATCCGGCTTGGGGGTTTGCTATGGGATGGAAGTGAGTTTTGTATTCCTGACCACCCGGAAATTTAACTAACCTAGAATCTAGCTATGCTATTCAATGGCTGGTCGTCTTACCGCTTGAAATTGTCGCTGCGTCCATCACACTCCAATTCTGGCCTGGAGCAGCAGATACCAATGCAGCAGCTTTCGTCACTATCTTCCTCGTCGTCATCATAGCCATCAATTTCTTCGGTGTCCGCGGGTACGGAGAAGCAGAATTCGTGTTTGCCATCATCAAAGTGGTCGCGGTCATCGCATTCATCATCCTTGGTATAGTCCTCAACTGCGGCGGCGGTCCAGAGGGAGGCTACCTCGGAGGTCGATACTGGTACCCCAACCGCGTGGCTCCCGACTACGCAGGATACACCCAAGACAACCAACCACCCGGAAGCATCTCATCGGGCGCGTTCCACAACGGCTTCAAAGGTCTTTGCTCCGTCTTCGTCACAGCAGCATTCTCCTTCGCCGGCACAGAACTCGTGGGTCTCGCAGCAGCTGAAGCAGATAACCCCCGCAAAACCCTACCAACTGCCATCAAGCAAGTCTTCTGGCGCATCTGCCTCTTCTACATGGTCTCCCTAACCATCGTCTCGGTCCTCGTCCCCTACGGCGACGCCCGCCTCCTAGGAGCCAACTCCGAAGACGCCAAAGCCTCTCCCTTCGTCATCGCCATCAACAACGCCGGCATCAGCGGCCTCCCCTCCGTCATGAACGTCGTGATCCTCATCGCCGTCCTCTCCGTCGGAAACTCCTCCATCTACGGCTCCTCGCGCACCCTCGCCGCGCTGGCCGAACAACACCAAGCGCCCCGCTTCCTCGCCTACATCGACCGTCAGGGCCGTCCCCTCTTCGCCATCATCGTCGCCTCCGTTTTGGGACTCCTCTGCTACGTCGTCGGCGGCGGCCAGCACACGGCCGCCACGGCGCTCAATTGGCTGTACTCGCTCTCGGGCCTCTCGTCCATCTTCACCTGGGGCTCCATCTGCCTGGCGCACATCCGCTTCCGCCGCGCCTGGAAACTGCAGGGCCATTCGCTCGACGAACTCGCGTTCCGGTCTCAAGTCGGCGTTATCGGGTCTTGGGTCGGCTTCATCCTTAACCTCCTCGTCCTGCTGGCGCAGTTCTGGACTGCCGCTTGGCCGGTGGGGTATGGTGATGATAGCTCGGATTATATTGCCCAGAACTTTTTCTTGGCGTATCTCGCGGCGCCGGTGGTTATTGCGTTTTACGTCCCGTATAAGATCTGGTACCGCACGCCGTTTATGCGGAGTAAGGATATGGATTTGGTTACGGGACGGAGGGAGATCGATACGCCGGCGCTGATTGAGGCGGAGAGGCAGGAGAAGTTGGCGTTGCCGAGGTGGAAGAGGGTTTATAAGATTTTCTGCTAGGGGGGGATGCTTTCTGATTATATCTGGTTGAGATATATAGCTAGTGATCTAGGTGAGAGAGGTATTAATTAGTAGTGTCTTGAATGGAATGGAGAGTTGGATACTTTACTGATTTCCTTCCCTTCACTAACTCCATGATCCATAATCCATAATCGTGAACCTCACCTACCTACCTACCAACCTACCTACCTACCAAAGAAATTATAACCAACTACCAGCAGCTCAGCTCTCTCCATATATCCTCCTCCGCTCGCTCGCTCACGATCAGCTTACGCTCCACTCTTCTCATCTGCCATCAACAGGGCGCGGTGGGTCCGGGTCCGCACGTGTGCTGGGTTAGGGTTAGAGTGCAAACTATCATGTAATGGAAATTCGTTTGTTTGCTTTTAGGGTTTTGGGGTGATTGGTGTTAGTGGTAGTGGTTGTAGTAGTGAGCTTCACTGTCAATTTGTTGCGGAGTGGCGCAGGGTGGTGAGATTGTTGCTGGGGAGCTTGGGAAGTGGAGGATGGAGGTTGTGTGGGTTGTCGAGTGCTCGATGTTTGCGCTTATCAAATTCACTTTTGCATGGCTATTTCACGACAAAGGCGACGAAGGGTTGTAGACAGTAGACAGAAAAGGTGCTTGAGTTCTGTTCTTTTTTGGTTTGTTGTTCTTTGGCTGGTGGGACAGGTCTAAGGGATGGTGATGGCAAGTTGGAAGTTTGCACTTTGTCTATCTTCTGCTTTCACGGGTTGGTCGTTCTTGCATGTTAGGTGTCTTCTGGGGACGTGGTTGGTTTGAAGATCTTTTGTGCCATGGATTCTTTGTTGATTGCAGGTAATTATTGAGTTGTTGTAATTGTTGTCCAGGTGTTGATTATATAGAAACATCTGCCAGTGCAGAACAGGAGGGGAGGTACGATGAACAGTCTAGAAGATAAATTCTATACGAAGTTTTCTTGAATATAGGAAGGCAAGAATCTTTCATTGGAGAGTACCGGGGAGCTTATACTACGGATTTCTTGCTTTGAATGCTCGATCTTTCTTGCATGCTCAGCGTTTTCTGAAGAAGTTCTCAGTCGGAGTTTCTTTTCGCACAATGACTTCGTCGATTTCGTTCGCCAGGTGTCGGTATAGTCGATGCGTCAAGCAACGACACCGTGAATATTTCGATCGCGAGTTTCCCGCTCTGAATCATTTCCCCACTCCTTTCTCCTACCATCGTTAGTCACACTCGGGCGAGCGTCGATTTTATGAATCACGGTATCGTAAGACTTACCACTAGATCTTCCGAGTATATAATCCCCCACTCGTTCTCTCTTTCAACACTTTCTTTCTTCATCCGCAACTACACTCCTTCACACCACATACCAACTTGACATAGATCAAGATGTCCTACTACAGCCATCCCCAATACCCTCCTAGTGAGAGCTATGCTTCATCCTTTGGTGCTGGACCTTCCAATTATGTTCATGGACCGAAAGAAGCTTATTGTCAGCCATGTTGGCGTGAAATCGACCAGTGCAATGCTTGGAATGCTCTTCGGTATGCTACCAAGACTGAGGAAGATGATGAACAATCCATGGGCCCGAGTGAACGAGAGTCTTATACTTCATTCGAGGACCGCGGTCGACGAGGAAGGTCTGCTAGCAGTGTCCGTTCTTCTTCTGCTGCCCCTTCAAGTGCTCACGCTCCATCCGCATCCAGCTACCAATCTCGACCAACAAAAACAGCAAGCAGTATCCAATCTTCCAAGGCTGCCTCCTCATCTACCCCCTGCTGTGGTGTAGCCGGCCCACCAGTCTTCTACAATCCGTCCTACAACCAAGCTCGTCGACCTAAAACAGCGAGCAGTATGCAATCCTCCACCGCCGGCCCCTCATCCGCCGGCCACTCAACCACTCACTACTGCACGACCTGTCTCCCACCACCCAACGACCCCTGGTCCACCGAAGCATCAAAAGGCAGCTCCGACTCCCTCTGGCAATACTACCCCATCCCCGGCTTCCCCAACCTGAACAGCTTCTACCCCGCCCTCCCCCAAACCAGCATCCCCTATCCCCTCCTCGAGCGCTACGCCTACAACGACGCCTACGGCCAAGACGTCCCCAACCTGAATCCACACTGGTACCCACCCACGCTCTCTGGTCCGAATCTCCTTATGCCTTTCTGTCAGTCGGTCAACGGTCTCGACCTCTCCAAGGCGCCAGAGCGAGAATGCGAGATCTGCCTCCCTGCTTTCTTGGCGTATAGAGAGAACCTGTTGATGCAGATGGGGGTTGATATCAAGACGTTGACCTTCGCGGAGTATGCGAGGAAGTATTTCCCTAGGTTGGAGCGCCCGAGACTTGAGGGAGAGGGTGGGGAGTGTGAGTGGGATATGAGTGCTTTGGAGTTTATGAAGAGTTTGGTTGATGATGAGGAAGGCGAGGATGACGATGAGGATGAGGAAACGGATGAAGAAGAGGAAGAAGAGGAAGACGAGGAGGATACTCTCGATGCTAGTTCATACCACGAAACAGAAGCAGAAACAAAAACAGCACGCACACAATCACCAATTAGCTTCGTCGACCACGAGTCCCAAATCGGCGCCCTGTTCCGCAAGAAGTGCTACCACGCCACGCTCGCAAATCGGGAGCCGCCATACTACTCTGATTACCGAGCAAAATACTACTACGACCTCGGAGTTGCGAATGAGAAGTCTCGCCACAAAACCATGAACCTCTCGAACGATGATGACAAGAGCAACACTGAAACAGCACGCACACAATCCCTCCGCTCCCTCCATGACGCCGACGCGAAACCCAGAACAGTGACACCCAGCCAATACAAGAAATGCCTTCGAGCCCAAGACTTCAAGAACATGAGCTTCCCAGATTTCATAGCCAAGTACTACGAGCAAGAAGACTCCGATCTCGGATCCACATCCCGCAGCTACAAAACCCCCCGCTCTCTGGAACGATGACAAGAAAAGTCAATCTACAAATCCGCAGCCGCGAGAACTCCATTTACTGGTCTGTCTGCTGCTGCTGCTCCCAGATCCCATAAATCCAACCCTTCATCATCCAACCCCTCCTCCTCCTCCTCAACATCAACATTCCTCCGCCGCGACCAAAGACCTCCCAGCCCCTCCTCCTCCGCCCTCGCCAGCTTCTATAGCTACCTCAGCGACCGGGGTACGAGCGTAAAGCGAGCAAAGCATCCGAAGACGATGTTTTGTTCCTGCGGGCGAGTACTTCTATCTCGTTGGGGGCGTGTGGAGGTATGGGCGGATGAGTCGGGAGGGGGAGTTTATTGAGTGTCCGTTCTGGGATGGGGAGGTGGGGGGGTTTTGTTGGGTTTGATGAGGAATTTGATGGTAGGGAGGGGGGTGAGGAGAGTAGCAGTAGAGGAAAGCAGTGGAAGGGGGAGGGAAGAGCTGGGGATGATGATGATGAGATGGTTGTTGGGAGGGGAGTGGAGTTTGAGTGGAGCAGGAGGTTATTGAGTAGGGGGCCGGGTTAGTGTGGGAGGGTGTATGATAGGGACGATGGATGGATGGATGGATGGATGGTATTGAAGTTTGTTTGAGTGGTATGTTTGTGTATAAAAGTTGATCTGGTTTCAACGGTGCTTTTTGTATTATAAGCAAGCAAGCAAGTATGTAACATAGGAGAGGGCATAGAAGTATGCAAACTCGTTGTTTTTCTACTTTGTTCCTTTCTTTCTCAGAGTCCGAAATCCTCATCTCGAAAAACCCAAAGGAACAGAAGAGAATTGATCGCAAAGCTGAGGGCTGGGACGATCATATTTAGCTCGGGATCTGTGAATGGGCTGCTTTTGAGGGGGATTGGTGGGGATCGGTCAAGACGTTTGAGGCTTGGCCATGATCAGAACTTAACTTGTCCATGTTAGAAGAAAGTCCCTAACTGTCTGAGAGATTCTGGAAGCATTGTCTGGTTCCAATAATCTTTTCGAGTGCAATCAACCCTACCTATCTTAAGGTACCTAGGTATCTTTCAACCAAGGAGTACATGTAATCCTAACTCTTATGCTACAAATCCATCTATATCTAAACCATTGTACTCCGTCTCATCTCTCTTTACAATACAGATCTAAGAATCATAATAACCTTCCCATTGTCTAGACTCTCTCACGCAACTCGCAACCCTACTAATCTCCAAAGCCCTAGCACCAGATCCTGCTTGCTCCCTCGGTCCATAAACTACATCTCGATCTAACGCACCATGCTCATGCTTATGTCCACCCATCAAAAGCCCCTGCTCCTCAAGATCATCTGTGACTGGTCGCAAAGCCAGTGCAATCTTAAGATAGCTATTTTCAATGACAGCCACCCTGCTAGCGACATACGACCCAATGATCCAAAGGACCAAATGTGACCCCGCGATGCTGCCAAAGATAGCCCACATATATGCCACATGGTCGATACTCAGCTTCAGCCCCGGTTGAGGTTGAAGACCTAAAACATGCAGCGAATCAGAACCGATTTGAGGAAATATGGTGTCGGCGACGACCAAGACACCAATCGCGTATTGTCTCAACTGTCTAGCTTTGAACGTACTATTCCCAGAAGTGAAATTTCCGTATGTTGACTGAGACGGGAATTGTTGGTATTGACTGGCATTGTTGCTGTCAGATTGATATCCTTGGAGAGCGATTGCGCCAGCAGCAAGTCTGGCGTGGTCGTCTGAAAGTTGTTGTTCTTGGACCGTGGCGTTGTAGATGGTGCTAGCGTTGACTGTGCACTCAAAGTAATTCGCCGACGTCCCATCATTCTCGTAGATATATACGGTGGCGCATCGTGGACCACAATCTTGTTTGTCGGGATACGTGAGGTATGTTGTTGAATTCGGTCCTATAGAGTGCCACGTTTGGTTTAAAGTTTGGCTGTCCCTCTCGTATTGAAAAGTCTGTGAGGTCCCATTTGAAATGCCTATTACGGAATAGGCATTGCAGCTGCTTGTTGTAATCAGGCTTCGATTACTGTAGAAGCACCCAGTAGTTGAATCTGTGGCGGAGTACTCTTGGAACGCCGTTTGGAAGTAATCCTGCCCTTCGTAGTAAACGGAATCGAGATCACATGGAGACAAGTAATCGACGGGAAGTTGATCTGGTCCACTGGCTTCCAAATAGGGAAATTGAAGTGCCATTTCACCGAACTATGCCAATTAGTTCAAGATCTTAGTCCATGCCAAAAGGTAACGTACAGTATGAGCAGCCAATTGACTTGACGCAGTAGTATCTTCATCAACAGCTACCCCAAAAGATGATGAAAAATTGCTGAAGCTCGTATCTCCAAGAATCGGTCTTGTTGGGTCAACTTGAGCATTGAGAGAATACGTCAAGCCTAGCATTGCGACTGCTGCTTGAGCCGCCTAAATTACCCTACCGTCAGAATAATTCGGAAGCACAACGAGGAGATGATACTGACAATGTTGAACAATACCCATAATGCAGCGCTCATAACGACCCCAGGCTTCTTGTCTTTCGCAGATCTGATGGCCAGCTTACTGACCTCACTCAGAGCATGACTTGATAGAATTGCATCGACCTATAAAAATTCAGTGAATAAACTTCCCCGTAGTCACAGCAACTCACTTCGTGAATCGGCCGTCTCTTCCTACTCAAAATCCACCACCGCACGTCTATCGCAATAGCTTTGAAGCTACTAGCAATACTGATACCAAGTATCATACTCAATCCTGTGACCAGAGCATTGAAGACCCGCTTCCCGACAGGTCCTATCACACTTCGTCCTCCATACGTCGCAAGCGTAGCGTATATGCACCCAATTAAGAAAATCGTAAGCAAAATCCGAACGAAACCGGCCAGGAGCAATTTCCCGAACTCTTTCTTCCTCGAAAAATAAGTATTGTAAATTTCTGTCTCAGTCTCGGGATTTTTGGGTTCCACACTCTCGGAATCTGCATTGACTTGCTGCTTCAAGAAAGGCGACATCGAAGCGACAGGCGATGCGCCCTCTTCACCAGAGCCTAGAGATCGAGAAGCCTGCAGCGAAATATCTCCGTCAGAGGCAACCTCGTGGGAAAGAGGTTCGTAGGCTTCCTCAGAAGGCATTTTCTTCGTTGGGCGTCCCATCTTTGAGCAGTGCAGAAACGGGCCATAATAATGACCGTAAGGCTGAAGCAGAGAGTTTCATGCTTCAGCTGCTGTGGTGCGGCACTTCCGACATGAGTCTATACTTGGAGGTTAGAGTGACATTTGGTAGCCAATGAAATGTTGGTCGGGACACTGAATGGCCCAAGAATTGCCGATGGCATGAAAAGGAGCGGCGGCAAGAACAAGGAATAAATTGCGGCTGTGTAGAACACGAGAAACGCGATAAGGATTTGATGTCAACATTGAGCAGCGCATTCGTTTAAGGCGTGAGAACAGGGCATCAAATGGTATCAGCAGTTAGCTATTACATAATTCGCCGCCATGAGACGGGATCTGAGTATCAGCATTGCGTGACTGTATATGACCTTCCTATCCTGGTTCGTTTGTTCTGAAAAATTGTCACCACTTCATTTTGATGCCGAAGGAGGGGTTTTCTGTTTCATTTTCGTATTGAGGATCTCTATACTACGGATGAGGATGAGTCTATGCCATCGTAGACTTGATGTATCTTCCCAAACTACCTTCCAAGAGCTTTGCCAGCAACGCCGAGTTCTTGGTTCCTTATAAAAGCAACGAGTGTCCGATATGCCTATTCGAATATGCCCAAATGGCCATTCTCTCCCCAATTTACAGTTCGTTCAACCGCGCAATGACCCCTTTGACCGCCTCCTTAGTCTCACCACCCACAATAAGACTCGTCCAATTGACGTTGTGATCAAGATCACAATACCAAGCAGTCATGATCACACGACCCTCCGCGAACTCCGTGGAGAACTTGTTGATGAACACCTCCTTAGGAGTAGAGATTCTCATGGCTGACAAAAGAGAAGCTTCATTGAAGCCTCTGTCTTTGTAAAGAAAACCCTTCACCAGACCAAGAATAAGGGATCCTGGAGGACGAACGTTCAGATCAACCACCCATTGCTTGCCGTGTCTGTCCTCCAATACGTCGATACCCACACAACCGTAGTATCCCTTGCCATGAAGATAGCCAGATACTTCGGTAATAGTCTGAGAAAAATGCTTCGAGAGACGGTCCTGCTCGGCGAAGGAGATAAAAGAGCCATCCCAAGTATAATGGACGCTCAGTGTTTGCTCGCAGCAGTTGATGAAGGTGTGTGATCCATCACGTCTAACGAAGAAGGTGATAGCAAAGCTTGGGCTACCACCCTCCGGACAGTCGACGAAATCGGTCAAGACAAAAGTGGCCGGCATCAGATGATGATTGGACTTGGTGGTTCGACCGGCATTGAAGTCCATAAGACCCTTGAGCTCGGAAAGAAGGGTGGATCTAGCTTCTTCGGACTTTACGATATATGTTCCCTTGCCAAAGATTGTTTGCTGAAGCTTCAGGACAAAGGGGATAGATCTCTCGGAAATGGCTTCGACAACTTCGTTCATCCACGATTGGACGGTCTCTGTAGGTGCTGCCGAGCTCTCTCCATCTTGTGATTCCCAGTCAACCTTGAGATCTAGGAGTCGGCTGCACGGAGTTGCGAATGAACCTTCTGCTATGGCCAAGCCCCGCTTCGAAAGCAACTCATAATGAATATCAGGGTGAAGAGCATGCGGAAGAGAGTCCATACCATCCAATGGAAGTCTGGGTGCAAGCTTGATTCTCTCGTCGGCCATCACCACATGCGCAGGGCTAGCGAAGAAATGCAATTTGGGTTGTTGCGCAGCAGGCAACGAAGCCAAATTTGTCGATACCAAGGATCTGAATGCGTTGACTTTGGTAGCATCGCTACAATAGGGATCGAAGATGACAAGGTCCATATCTCCGACGCAGAACGAGAACTTTTGCGCTCCAAGTCCCCTCAATGTTTCTCCTGCACTGTCGCGCTCGGACTCTGTAACATCATCGGGAAGCTCGCTGCTTGCTGGTCTGTCCTCATCGTGGTAGATATATCGTTGGTTTTCGACCCGCAAACCAGTTGGATATGCTGCCACAAGCACTACACGATCACCGGTGGCTTTGTTTTCCTCGTTATAGAAATCGGCGAGGGTCTTATCGAGGGTGACGGTAGGCAGATTCGATGGCTCCATGGTTTAATCGAGAGCGCAAGGCGCAACGATTTCGAGATTCGAGATACTTTCGTACGTAAATGAAGGTCAAGATAGGTATGAAGGAGTTGTGATGTTGAGGAAGCTTGGATGTCGGCGTTTGTATGTGGCGCAAGTATGTCGAGATTTGTGCAGTTTGTTTAGGAAGGAACGACTGATTAAGGGAAAGACTAGTCCTTTTGGCAGAAAGAGCGCTTACCAGTCGCAAAACCTAAAATCGTACGATACTGTATTGGTAAGGTGAATAGGGTAGTGGCCCCGTTCACTTTTGAAGAAGTCTGGATGAAGAAGCCAGCTAGATAGTTGAATTTTGGCTGGCAAGACCGGAGGAAATGACAGTATTGACTTTTGTGCTGATTAAAGGTGTGGAGTCAGAATACTCTCCAAATGACTTCTTTCTGAAAGACCTCCATAAAAAGATCACCAAATCTCCTGGCAATGCGCTGTGTGCTGCCTTCACAATGCTCGGATAATTTCAGGGGTATCACGTGATGAGACTTGAAGAGCAATGGTATTCACTTTGAGACAAGTCTCCGTTGCACTCTTTGAATTAGCTATGTGCAATAAACTCTGGCTTAAAGTGAATAAGATTGTCATTTCAGGTCAGAACATTTTCTATGCATGTGCAAATTTGACTTTGTGTTGGGCCTTGAACACCGCCGCAAGCACTTTGTTTTCGTTGTTACATTATGTATTCTAACACACATCCGTATCTACAGAATCTCGTTTCCATGACTACATTCTTTCCATATCAATCACGAAGATCTTGGGGATGCGTTGATTCCTTTTGCTGTCTCGGCCGCGGGGCAAGCAGGTGACCCAATTCTCCGAGACACTTTTCGTTTTCTCAGCCAGCCTGGTCACACTTCCAACCTCTGCCTCATCGCACAACATATTGACGTCTTCGTTGTACAACCTTGCTCATACCGATAACTTCCAACAATATTTGGGGATACTGCCACGCGCTCCGTTGAAGACAGAATATTCATGATGGAGAGCGATACTGAGCCCGCTCAAATTAACGTTGCTGAGCGTAACGGAACGACACAGAATTTATCAGACGCTGTGACACTGCCAACTCAACGACTTTCTGCTCGCGATGGGTTCGTTCTTCTAATCGGTATACAAATCGGGTCTGGCATCTTCACCTCTCCAGCGCAAGTCGACCAGAATGTTGCCTCCCCCGCAGCAGCACTCCTTGCCTGGACAATCGCTGGGTTGATCGCGTGGGCAGGCGCAACTTCGTTCGCTGAGCTTGGTGTGACTTTGCCTTCAGCGGGTGGTATGCAGGAATATCTGCGTTACGTCTATGGAGACATGACTGCGTTCACGATGAGCTGGATCTGGATTATGGTGGAGAAACCAGTTTCGATGGCAATCTTGAGTATTCTGCTCGCTGAATCAGTATCACGTGGATATGGGTCAGCTGCATCGGTCTTGGAGCTGAAACTGGTGTCGTGCATGGCTGCTTTGACCATTGCTCTGCTGACCTGTTACAACACGAAACCGGCAAGCCAAATCGGACAAGCTTTCGTTGTGATGAAATTCTTCACCGTGGGTTTAATTATGCTCAGTGCTATAGTTGTGTTTACAATTCACTTTGTAAATCCTGCGTCATCATTCGGTAGCTCAGACTGGTACGAGAAGAGTTGGATCTCACCACGACCTGCAAATATAGATTGGCCAGCTCTTGGGTGGTGGACGACCATTGGATACTTTTCTGCAGCCATCAATGGCGCCTTCTGGTGAGTTCATTATTCTCAGAGCGCAATTGTCCTTTAGTCTGACAATCTTTAAGGTCTTATGCTGGATGGGAGAATGTAAGTACCGTACCTAGGTACTTACTCTTGATCATGATGAGCCTGTTCATAGGATAATTTCACTGCGCTTCGCTGACTACATTGAAGGCAAATTTCATTGCGGGTGAGATGAAAGATCCACCGCGCAACCTCCCACGTGCTGTTCATTTGGCCATGATCTCCGTTATGTTTTGTTTCCTCACTTGTAATGTATCATACTACATTCTACTGCCGTGGAGCGATATCAGTTTAACCGATGCTATTGCAGTAGTGAGTCCAAACTCCCCCATCAGATCATTGTACGCACTGATAAACTTGTACAGGCGGCTGCAAAGACTCTTTTCGGTGGACCGGGTCAATTCTTGATAGCAATGCTGGTTGCTTTGTCTTGTGCGGGGTCACTGAATGGTAATTCGTTGGTTGTTGCACGTTTGACAGTAGCTGCTGCCAGCAAAGGATACGTCCCAAAGGTATTAGGGCAACAAGTTGAGCTCGATCGCTTTCGACTCGGAACTTCTGAAATCTCAACACTTCCTGACTATGGAGATATGGAGGAATCCGATGCAGATTCTCAAAACACAGACGCCATCAGTCATCCACCTCTGTGAGTACAAGTTCCTTCTCTCTGCAAGTATATCTGCTAAGAGCGATTCCTTCGTAGTTACTCAATACTGCTGAATGTCTGCATCACATTATTTTGCATCGTCACTGGCAGCTTCCACATCCTTGTGACATTTATCGGTAAGGAACTAGGCCCACTCGATACATGCATAGTATTCTTACTCTTGCCAGGAATCGCTCAGTATTCATTCTACTTCCTGACTGTCCTTGGGCTTTTGATTCTTCGTGTGCGAGAGCCTTCGCTTCCTCGACTCTACAAGACATCTGTTCTCATACCAGTCATTTTCTGCATTGCTAGCGGACTAGTTGTCATCAGAACAGTCATATTTCTTCCCAGCCAAGGTCTCATCTTCGCTGGCTTGGTAGCTTTAGGTCTTCTGTTTCGAGTTCTAAGCATACAACAAGAGTCCAATGAAGAATTTCGAGGGTGAGGAGGAACCGTTACTGAGCAGCGCTTGATCGAAATCGCAACTAAAACAATTCACTTGTAGTCGCAGGCGGAAATTGAGGAATTTTGAACCGATAGATTTCATGAGGATTTAAATCCATCTAAGACTGTATATCTAAGCACGAAGCTAATCAACTTCACAATTGCGACTATATAGAACAGCAAATAGATTCGTTGTTGTGTCAGAATGTCGCTCTCTGAACGTGGAACAGACCAAGTGACGAAACAATACAGAAAGCGCAGCAGCTCTACATCTTGTCTTTCCTTCCGGACAACTCCGTCCGTTCATGTTTGACATACGCATTCCACTGCCAATACATCCACACCACAGCCCCACAATCCATGATAATACTAATAACCAACCCTGCACTCATACCCATCGTCTCAAATACCAACCATTCTGTCAAATAATGCCATGAGATCGCAACAAACGTGCAGAAGGCACATGCGTAGACACCAGGATTCGATAAGTTGTACGCAGCATAGAATCGGATGAAGCCGCTCAGTATCAACCAGGATCCGAATGTATGGATCGAGAGAGGGGTGACTTGTGACTCGTTGGGTCCGTTGTACATTCCTTTCATCCCAGCTGGTGATAGAGGTGCAATGTACGATCCTATTGTTGAGCCCCAGGAAAGGGCACCGTCCTAGGCTGTTAGCGAAGGTTGCAAGGGAAAAGTGGCACTTACGAGGAGGAGGAAATAAGGCAACAAGCCTTTGTCTTTGGGAAGCAAAGCCATGGTCTTGTTTTTACTCCAATTAATGTTTGATATCTAGGTGATGAACGTGGAGACGGAGTGATGATGAACAATTGAGAAAGAAAGATGCTGTCTCCAGAGGGTAAGACAAGTGATGCGATGCAGGGTCTCTCTACTGCTGACATCACGTGGTTCGCTACTCGGGAGGTAATCCAATCGGCCTGGCCCTCGGAGCGCTGGCAGCTTAGTCCCTTCCTAGCAGATATTCACCACCTTTGGAATCTGAGTTGAAATTTACTATCCGGGAATTGAGTTAATAGATCAGGGTCGATCAAGCGGAATTTTGGAGCACACTAGCATAAGCGAGCAAAAGGGGAGAAAGCAGATGTATCTCCGCGCAAGAAACTTAGGATACTTCCACGGAAATAATGTCACAACTCTAAGTTTTCGCGACAAAGCGCAAATTTTCTTGACCCATGCCAATCCATTGCAGCTTTGAAGAAAAACTCGACCTCTCAAACTGCGATGTCTTCCAATATCAAGTCGACTGGGCGCAAAAGTGTATCCGAACAAGCAGGCCATTGCAATATGAAATTTACCAGTAAGTGATTCCAACCTTTGCGATCTCTCTAACAAGATTCAGAGTCCATCGAGTCAAAGTGGCAAGCGGTGCCCATCATGCGACTCCCAAATGAGGTCATCATGGAGATCATGAAGTTTCTCGGTCCTGTAGGATCCGCATGCCTTGGCGTGACCTGCAAGAAATTGTATCCCATGTACCGCAACTTATTCGGATGTGTGCTTCTCGAATCCCTACAGCGTCTCGATCAACGAAATTCTCTGTCTCCACAATGGCGCAGCAGAGGCGGTATAGCTGTGGCAGTGTCATTATCGACATGCCTCTCGAGCTGGATTCCTGACACGATTACCATTATATTAAGAGAAAATTTGTCCCCAAAGATCTCATCTTGGATGGGAACTGTCACAGAGAGGAGAGGGCATGGAAAATGGCGCAAGATTATAAGGAGAAGGCTAGGAAAGCGTCTGTGGAGGTTTCGGAGAAGGAGCGAAAAGATTTTGAATCGAACTTGCACAAACGGAAGTCCTTTGCCTCTGCAAATTATAATCACTTCATCGGTGGAGACTTTGGTTGCCGCAACGAATGTATTACACATAACGGCACATGAACTGGGCCACACGAAAGTTGCGCTCACGTTGACAAACGCTGCAAAGATTTTGATCTTGAAGTTGTGCTTTCGATATATATCAGAAACATGTGAGAAGTTTGGAGCATAAAATTCCTCTCGTCACTAGCTCTATGCTCTTTGAAGCCTTTGGTCTCCTGGTTCTCGCTACATCCAGACGAAGTGTAACTTTCGTATACCTCATTATCGGATAATATATTTTCACTGCCACTCGCGATGCCAAATGTTTCTCTCCAGAGTAGCGTTCAGCAAAATGCTTTTAACAGAAATGAGTCGGTCCCCAGCTCAATATGTATCATGGTGAAGGGGAACTCAGCGTAAAGATCATATAATCAGCGCAGGCTGGTATCAGATGCTCTATTAGAGATTTGAACTACCTATAGCAATAGAGTATGTCTTCCTACATTCAAATCTGTTCACATCCCAAAGTTTGCGAGCTAGATCCTGACAGCAAGCATTTAATGAGAAACAAACAAGCTTGAAAAAATGAACGAGGCTGAACCGCAAGAGGTGGCTATAAGATCATTACAACATTATCTAAAGTAATCCGCAATTTCTTTTTCTATATATTGATACAGTACAGAAATACTTAAAGTCAGCCAGCGCCAGTCTTATTTGCGACTAGGAAACAAATCTTGGAACGTATCCAGACATTTGCGCATATGCAAAACAGTTAGAGCAGAATCTTTTCAAATTAAAGCTAAGACTTGTTCAACCAGTGATGAAACTCGAGGAGGGCTTTGGCGCGGCTGGGTAACAACCAAATGCCGCAAATAGGCAGCGCTTGGTGAGGCTTTGATATTGGCCGATTAGCCACGCCCCGTACATATGCTTCGATGCGTTGGCACGTGAGCCGAAACTCGGTGAAGACTCGCCCCGCTCTCAACTGTAGCTTCATGGAGGGCCTCCGCAGCCTCGCGAACAATATCCGTAATTATTAACTGACCCTCTGATCATCGCAAAATAGTATCTTAATATTCCCAAGCAAGTCCTTTCGACCTTTGAGCCCTCAAATTCCAACTTGAGCACCCATCAATCATGGCAGACATAATTCGCACCCAATACCAACACTTCGTACCACAATTCCTGCTGAGGAATTTTTCTCATGTTCACAAACCACGAAAAGGTGATCGCGAGAAAAAAAAGCACCCCAAGGGTAAAGGCGAGAAGAGAATCTATCCTGGCGATCGTGTTGTCAACACTCTGGATTTGTCGGAGGATCCGCCGGTCCTATGTGAAGCACGGGTCAACCGTATTTTCGGTCAAATGGACATGTATCGAGACACGAGCAAGGACTCCCCTGAGCAGCAACACGTAGAAGAGATGTTTTCAAAGCTAGAGGGCCAAGCCAGTATTGTTTTCCGCAAGATCACTAAAGCCTTTGAGCAGAAGGAGCCAGGGCTGTGGCTTACTCGAGAGGAGAAAGATCTCGTGCGCAAATTCCTATTTCTTCTTCAGTACCGCGGATCGGGATACCATCAACGCTTCTACCGGGACAGAACGGAGGACTATGATGCCAATGACCGGGAGTTGCTATGGGAATACATGGCAGAAAAAGGATTCAAACAGCCGATGGATGTTTGGTTGCACAATCTGAGAACAATCATGGAATTGCGTATGGACCCTGAAAAAAAATGGATACATGATCTTCCAAAGTGTATGTATACTGACGATGCCATGGGCTTCATTATCCATGCTGAGGGCATGTATATGGCTATTTGCACACCGTCTAATGCTGGAGACGAATTCATCCTCACTGACAACAGCTACAATGTCTTCGAAGGGCCAAATTGTTTCGTGACGGACAAAAGTACCGGGAAGGTCGAAGGCAGCGCTCATGCTCCACTGCACCATTTCGCTCCTATATCTGCAAAGTTGATGATTATCCTAAGGAGTTTTGTGCTACCAGTGCCCGAGGAGGATGCGAACCCTAGAGTGAAAGAAGAGCGAGACGAACTCCACTTCATGGCTCTCGGTGCGGTCTACAACCAAGAAGTAAAATCAGTGCTATCAGATCTTCCCATAGCAAAGGCGCGGAACAATTACAGCAAGATCGTTGGTGGTCGACTACAGCTCCTCGAGGGTGAAGACGGGAAACACAGAAAAGATCACAAATTCTACTTCAAGTACTTTCCTATCCATGCGAACCACGTCCAGACCATTAATGGAATTTTCCTTTACAACGCTTACCTTTGTTCCAGAATCGTCTTTGGAACGAAGGACAATTTTTCTCGGACACTTGAGGAATATCTAACCGCGAATTGCAACATCATCACAGGAGATGATGTGGAACGTCGGCTCGAGTTCCTGAAAAAGTTAGCAGCTGTGTCAAAAGTTCTAGGCTCCGATAAAGAACCTCTCTGGAAAGAGGAACCTAATCCTGAGATGGAGGATTACGAAGGCTTTCGACTCGGAATTTTGGAAATGAGGCGACAGCATTCTAAAATGATCAAGGGCGATATGAAATTGGACAACGATCTAGAAGCTGTACAGATGTACAGATCTTTAGGTAATTCACTTCTCCCGAGTTCTACAAATGTTATATCAGCTTACTAATTTATTCCATCAGGCGGGACAGAAGGAACTTTTTTCATGGACATGGACCAGGCTAGGCGAATGTGGATTCTGCGAGTCAAGATTGATGTTTGGTCTCAAGGCCTCGATGAGTCTTTGCGCCAGAGGAATCGCCTATTACTAACAGAGAGCTATTGCCGCCTTCCCTCATCTCGAGTTTGGTTCTACGTGAAGCATATTAGAGCTGCGGTTTCGGGGCAACTGAAGGAATTGGAAACAAATGTTGACCTTGGTGATGGACTTCAAGGCCCGGAAGATACTATTGCGAAAGGCATGTGTCAACTGACTAGTGCTATGCTAATTCTAAAATACTGATTCAAATAGCTGCTCATATCATTAAGCCGCAAAGGCTCGCCCAACTTATCTACCAAGCTGCAACGAACGACATTGCGCTGAAGGAAAGCCCCGAGATCAATCTATGGGCCAAGATTGATAAACTTGACATGGACTCGTTCAAGCAGTTGAAGCTTTTGCGAAGGCTCAATGCCAGTGAACTTCGTATGTTTCCTCTCTATATATATTTGAACGATTATACTCAAGTCTAACAATGGAAATAGAACACATCCGCCACTGTGGTAAGACGTGACGGAGCTATAGAAGCGACTATTCAAACTGACTTGTTGGTAGGTATCGATGAGATCGAGCAAGTTGCTCGAGAAGAAGAAACGAATGTCTTCAAAGAGGGTATTCGAAGCCGAGAAGAAGCCGGAAATTCCATTCTTGAGGAGGGTGAAAGGATTGAGCTCTCGACGAGAATGAGAGTGAGATCAAAATTTGTGAAAGCTTTGCGTGGGAAGATAGAGCTTACTTTGTTGAAAGCTTTGAAGGAGGTCTTTTTCAAGATAATATTCCCAACTCCGGTGTAAGCGAACGGATGGAATTGAGCGGCATAGCGTAGCCAGATAGGAATATGGTACCTAGGTATTTAAAGGATAGCAGTGATCAATTGTTCTACAACAAAACAAGATTTCATAAAAATATCACTTCGAGCTCTCAGCCATCTTCTCCCTGCCTGAAAGTTTCTCAAGTTAGGGTATGCTCAATTCTTCAAATCATTGAAAACATAATTCAACGCCTCGAAGAACATGTCGAAATCTGCGACGGTAATTGCACAACCAGCGCGGACAGCGCAGACAGCGCGAACGAACAACGCGAATTGCGCAACAAGCGCAAATAACGAAAATCGATAATTACATCTACACTATTATCATTTATCTCTAGTTCGCGTAGGTATTCGTTCAGAGACGTACTGATGCTATTCCATTATGTCAGGTCTGAGCTTGAGGCTCGCATTTTGAAGATGTCTGGACACACGCCGACGAATTCGAACGAGATATCGGGTGTGGAATTGATGAGGAATGAACCAGGAAACTGAGGGATCAACATGCGATACTGTTTTGAGACTTTCTAAAAGAAGACCATGATATCTTTGCGATCTCCCACCTTCATTTTCGCGATTATGAAATCAACTCGAGAATTGTGACCGTTCAGGGACAGCCGCTAATTTCAGGGGGCTCGCTAACCATGTAACCAAACTCAGCGCTCACAGCTTGGAGCTTTAGCGACTTCCAGCCACAAAATCACCTGTAAGAGGGCTTCTGGTCATCACTTCAGTGTAGTTGCGCGCAATACAAGATGCATTAACGCAAAAGAATATTTGATAGTATTTAGTTTGTCTTTGGGTATCTCAATCATGAAGAAACATAATCAGACTGTTAAAGCAAAAACTCCGGTCCTATGATTGATCTGAAGAACGCCTCTGCCGCTCTTCCTATGTAGCTTAATGCTGAGACATGATTTCCAGCTATTCCATCACGGCATGATACAGTGAACAAAACAACAAAAGACAAGGAAAACACCATGACCTTTCCTTTGGTTTCACACCGACCACCCTCTCCCGATGTCGTCGTTGACCTCGTACCCGTCATTCACTCGTCTGTCTCGAGACCCTCAAGAATCGTGGTTGGCGAGCAGAAACACCCTTCTCAGCCTCGTTCTGCGCCACATCACTCGAACTGATAGATCCAAGCATCGGCGATTTCTGGGCCAGGCCAGGCTGTGAGAAGCAAAACCCAGGATGGAACAGCGTGAGGACCGATGCAGCGATGAGGATCATGCTATGAGATCGTCAGCAAGGTGTTCGACTCTCACAAAATGGGTAAACACTTACAATCCCTCCATGATAACAAATCCCGTCTCATCTCTCATAATAGGATTCGCCCACCCTCCCACCATCTCCGCAATACGGTATACGCATCTCAAGAACACAGTAATAAACGCCACAGCAACAGCAACCAAGAACCCCTTGAAGCTGCGCCTCGCAAACAGATTCTTCGCATCCGCCGACACGATACCCCACGATCTGCTCGTCCGGATGGCATAATCGGTCACGAGACAAGCGAACACGATCAACGTGCCGACTTGCCAGACGATACCGATGATCATGAGGTTTGTCCCCATGTTTCGCTTGCTAACGTTGTCTTTCGCGCCGCCGGCCATGCCACCTCCAATGGCTTGGAGCATGAGGGAGATCCAGTCACAGGTTATGAAGATCCAGGTGTAGTATCTTGCTGGGATTCTGGAGCGTTCTTCGCCAAACGCGCGGACGATGTGCTTTAAGACGAGGTAAATGCCTGCGGCGATGAAAGCGGGGGAGAAGATCAGGCAGGAGATTTGGATTGTGAAGGCGATGTCTTTGTACTTGTGAGATATTAGTTTTGCTCATGAGACAGAGGGATGGTGGACATACTGGGTTCGAATGCATCATGACACGGCCTCCATAGCCGATGGCTTCACCGATGCAGCCACATGCGATGGCATAACTGTAGAAGTATTGCTTCTTCCATGTTCCGATAATGATTTGAGGGATTACAAGAGCGGCGAAAGCAGCGACGAAGAAGGCGTTCAGCCCGAGATTGGGATAGTATCCATAGATAGTGTTCTCGACTGTGCAAGGTGCCGGACCAATTGCCGTGCAATTCTCAGCGACGAAGTGTTTCCCCATGGTGAAGGTTTCGCTTGATTCGACAATTTGAGAAACAGTGCTGAGAATTGCTCAATGACAAACAGCTTTCGATGTGAAGGATTTTCGAACGGGACGTATACAACGCAAATGATCACATAATAAACTTGGGAGACATATCGTCTTTATGTCTCCTCCTGATGAGGCTCAGATAACGCACCCCTGCACCAACAAAAAGCGAGTCCGAGAAGCCCAGAATCCTCGTCGTCATCCATGGGGCCAAAAACGCCCCGAACCAGACTCTCAAACACAATTTATGCACGCATTATTCTTCAGTCTCGCCAAGAGGGCGAGGAGCCAAATAAAAGCCAAGAAATGATTGTCCCGACTCCTTCGGTGCCTTGCTGACAGGACGACTTCGGCCAGGAATGGTAAGGCTTGGCTTGACATCACGGCCGTAAGTGGTACGCCATGGATCGTAGGACCAATCCTGAACGAAAGAAATAGAGTATATAACAAAGTTGTACCCTCGATTGCGAAACTGCGCAAACAAGACCTGAAGAGGAATTCTGGAAGTTGGGACGGAATGGCGTGGCATGGCGTTGTTGCGGCACATTTAGTGTCGCTGCCTGGCATGGCACATCGCATTCGCTTAAGCCTGCGGATCTCGGGTCAATTTTTGACGCGGAATGATAATTCAACGACAACTGTCTTCCAGCTGGACGTGTCATGGATTTGATTTTGTGATCAAAGCTTCAGATGGAGATCTCACATTTGATGTGATCTGTGGTTTGACTGAGCGAGCCGTTTCTGGAACGATAATGAACTGCTTTGGGAGCGATAGCTCCGAAGCTTCTTCAGGGCTGTGCAGTGCAATGGTTGCGCCAAGTCATATGATGAGCTTTCTTTCGGCGCAGAACCTGCTGCAATGACTTGAAATTTCTTTGAAATCTTGGGCACAAGTTTTTCAGATGGAAGTGATATCTTCTTATCTCAACCATGTCATGTGCCATGCTTCTTCATCCCGCTTTGCTCGACCGGAAAGAAGTCTCAATACCCTAGTCCGATCCAACTTTCATCCATTAATACCTCTTCTCCTCAACAACAGCATCGACCTCTCTAGGAGACTCCAAGACCGACTCTGGATCACTGGTAGACACCCTATTTGATCCCTCTTTCCATTACCAGTCACAGCATCCCACGTCCATCCCTCTTCAGGACATCTCATCCATGAATCAGTCGTTAGACAATCGCAACCAAAAGACAGAAGAGCAGTCATACATCCGAGCCAATCGTCCATTCTACGAATAACTAGCCTCATGATCAGCCTGGACATATTTCGCACGGCAATCAGACTCGCAGGTTTGGTGAAGAACTTGTTATGAAACAACACTGATGTCGACTAGGGCAATGGAGACACCCGGAAGACCGCGCAGGCAACCATACTGATCTGATATACTGGAAGGATCTCGCAAAGATCCTCGAAGCTGGGAAAATCCACGGCCGCTTTCTCGCTGATCACCTGGGCATATACTATGTGTACAAAGGCCCAGGAAACAGTGCGCCAGCATTGGAATCAGGAGCACAGTTTCCGCATGATGATCCCTGTTAATATTATCTCCAGACTTAAAATCTTTGACTGCTACTCACAGATCAATTGTTCAGCTTGCTGAAATCCGCGATGGCTGCTGCAACAAAGTTTGGTGGTTGGACAGAACATGATCTGCCGAATTACAGCGACGATGAAGACTTCAAGTTCACCGGCAGCGGTACGATCCACTGTCAATACTTAATCTGCTACGATTCCAGGCCCCGATAGCGTGTAATAGACTTCTCGGAGAGTGTTCCAGGAGCTTTCCATTGGAACAGCACCGCGAACGGTGGCTTATGAGTTGCAGAAGTGGATTCGTTGCTGGTATCGATGGTTTCAATCTCTTGTATGCCATATCTCCAGGTAGGTTTCAAGATATGATCAAGAATATGTAGTCAGAGCGGAGAAAGAGAGCTATGTTCTGGGACGATTGTGAGAAGGTCGGAGCATCAACGAGAGAGAGTTATCTCGGGTATGGAAAGGGCCCGATACTGCGAGAAGGGTATTCCAGGTACATCAGTTCGATGGGCATAGATATCGAAAGCGTGGAGTTGTGATAGCATCAGCGTGAATGAGTCTTTCAAGCTGCTCATGTTGAAATCGATCAGACGACTGTGAATAGCAAGGAAATACGAAGGTACACGCGACGCTAGACTTGAAGAGGATGACAAAGGCATAGAGCACATGACTCCAATCTTGTCTGCTAGCATACCTGCAAATGATTTACCGTCAACGACGTGTAGCAATTCAGATTCATGTGTCGGATGTTCGTGGCAGAGGAAGAGTGGTGAACATCACTTGTCAGCGGCCTCCTTTCTCATCTGCACTGACAGGGGTACGAAACACAGCACGTGCTCACGCGGCGCAGCGCCAAGAGAGGCTGAGCGGATCAAAGATAACAATAGATCTTGAACCTCAACCTTTTCAATACCAACAACACAATCAACAATTGAAATATTAATAAACATCGACACCATTGCTGAAAACGAGCATCAGCCAAAATGGCCGACTCAACATGCCCAAAGCCAGATTGCATCGACAGCCCGCTCGTCTCAGCAGCCAGCATCATGGGGATCATGACCTTCATATACGCTGTGCTGGCCGGTATATTCGTCGCCTACATCCAAGCCATGACCACGGCCTCGGAGCTGGGGGACTTAACTCTCTCCTTTGAATCAACGCAGAGACAACTCGAAGCATGTCGGCGAAAGATGGGGTATTTCAACGAAGTGTTGCCAAAGGGCGCTACGCGGGAAGAGCTGTATCACCTTTATGGGATTCTGAGACGAGGCGAAGAGATCGTCGATGATCCGAATACGAAGAAGATGTTGAATAAAGTTAGTCAGTATAACCACTTTAACAAGTCGAAGCGGTTGAGGTCCATGGTTGCTGGGAAGGCGATGAAGGATGCGATGGATGGAAGGTTGAAGGCCGCTCAGCGGGTTGTGAGTGAGGTGCAGCTTGGTTTGATTCAATTGTGAGTCTCATGAATTGTTACATTATGTTTCAAGTGACTGAACTATCTCGTAGGAAACAAGACATCATCAACGCAGATCAGATTGCTCGCTCGAATGCCTTGTTCAATATGATGCTAGACGCCAGCAAAAGACCCAGCTCCGACGAAATAGCACGCTCAGCAGCACTCTCTTCAATGCCTCAAGACCTCAACATGAGACCCAACGGGGCAGATTCCTCAGCACCGTCTTCGTCTGACCTCGAATACCCTTTCGGGCCAAGATTTCAAACGAAGCCCGAGGATCAGCAGAACACCAACGAAAACGAGAAATCGGCTATCCTGTTAAGGTCTCAGATGATGACCTCGGACGGTGGGAGATCGGATCCCGCTGACCGTGAGGCGGCTGAGGATCCGTTGGGCAAATTGATGCGAGCACGAACGATGTCGGTGTCAGGACTCGGCAATGAGAAATAAAAGATGAACTTATGGTTTATGATCTATTTCAATTTAGCGGATCTTATTCGGAATGCATTTCAGGGGCTAAGCGTTGCAAAAGAATCGGCTTTCGTTTTCAATCGACACGTGAGACCATACTTTCACGTGATTGCTGATGCATGTGTTGACAGAGAATTGGAAGTTTCCAACTTGTTTAAGGGAAGTGAGTAAGTTCATTCCATCATTCTCCGAAATCTGAAGATACCAACTTCATTTCTCGTGTTATACTAAAATATCTACCACAGAACTTAGTATCACGATGCCTTGATCATAATCCTTTCCAGTCGTTGTGCCATACTTTATAAAAGAAGGCTTGAGTATCAGGGTGACTTCCTGCTGAAGCTCTGACACCTCGGCTCCTTCCAAATCATGTGATACTTCCATCTGACTGCTGTCGAACTTCATGCCCTGAAGCTTAGTGGTTTTGTCCAGTAATGGCTCGAAAAGATAGAGAGGCTGCTGCTGCTGGAGCAGAAAATCTAGATCGATGGCTCTGAGGACGATCTAATCCAGGAGGAGGGCAATACCGAAAATTAGATTTTGTTGTTGAACTACAAGTTGCAAGTGGGCAGCTGTGTTGGTCAGCGAAGTACAATGGCATCGAAAAGGGAGCTGTGAAGACAACGGTGGGATATGAGGGCTTAGAAGAAGAATCGAAGGAATGATCATGGTAAGAAATGACGACATATACAATACACTGCTTCATATATCTTGTTCTGAAAACAGGATTTAGAACACGCTCGTATGACCTGCCTCCGGCAACTGTATCAGAATCTCGGGAAAGATTTTTGAGGTAAGTCATAGGGACTTTTCGGACAGCAAGAGTTTAGGTGGGTTGTGAGATGATTTTGAAGAGTGAATGACGTTGTGGTACACCACATATGATACATTGCATACCATCTTGCGGCATCATTATTCAACCCCACTCCCCATCGACCTACATTTGACCCAATCAAGCGGGCGTAAGACACACTTTCGTCCCATTCCTCGAGCACAGCGTCAAAGTCAGTGATTCTTCCCACGGTCCAGCATCACAACTCTCCAGAACCCCGAATTCCTGCGCCATCCTAACGAGAACATAGCCAACTTCAGTCAACGCGTATTGCTGGCCGATGCAGATACGTGGCCCGCCATTGAAGGGTAGATACTCCCAGTGGGGCTGTAGATTTCCATCCTCCCAGCGCTCTGGCCGGAATTCCTCTGCGTCTGGTCCATAGAAATCTGTCCTTCGATGCATAGCGTACAAATTGTAGCCCACCAGGGTACCTTTCGGCACGAAGATTGGCGAGAGCCCATCTTTGCCTCCTCCAAGAGGCAGGACGGTATCTCGTACCGCCTCGCGCTCGTTGCGTGGTACGACTGGATGTAGACGAAGGGCTAAGGGAGTTAACTAAGAAAGCTGCGCAAGGTTTTGAGAAGTTTCACTTACATTCGTTCATACAGCATCGAGCGTATCTGAGGCTGCGAAGCTCGTCGTAAGTTGGTGCTCGTCCATCTAGACTAGCTACTTCCCTACGCAACTTGTCCCAAATTGCTGGATTCTTGGTTAGTGAGAAGAATAGGTTGCTCAGGAGACTAGCAGTAGTATCACGTCCAGCTAGTAGAACATTCATCAACTCATCCTGGACACGAATCTTATCGGTTGTCCGCGAAGCCAATTCGTTTGAGAATATGTGCTTCTTCTGTTTCAATTCAGCTTTGGGGTTGTTTTGGCCTTGCTTCTGTATTGCGACTGCGCGAAATGCCTCCTCGACGAACTGCTGGGCGAAGTCCCGACAGATGCGATTACACTCATCCGCCTTTCGATCAGGGTAAAACATTTTCAAAGGGCCCAGCATACCGCGTATGATGACGGCCCTCTGGGCATAATGAAAAGCATGGGCAAATTCGACGTCCGAGTGATTCTTCTTCAACGTACCAACCGATTGTCCAAACAAAAACTCGGTCGCGGAATCGATCGTGTAGCGGAAAAAGAGATCTTGCAAATCCACAATAGTCTTTCCATCTCGTGGCAGTAATTTGAAGAGATCTTGAATCAATGCCTCGAGTGTAGTCAAGTCCGCTACCTGGTCGCGGGTGAAGCTGGGTCGGATGAGAGCGCGCGAGGACGCCCAGTGGTCGCCATCAGTATCGAAGATACCTTTGCCCAACAGTGGTTGGAATGGCTTGAGGCGGTTTTTGATGCCATAATCATGGAACTTAACGGACAGGATTGTTTTGATGTTTTCTGGCTCGACAGTCAAGATCGCACGTCTTTGCAGCTCCTTGACGGTAAATGTGTTGCCGTAGACGCGGAAGCGCTCACAAGTGCGTTCAAGGATTCTGTGCTGCAGAACAGCGCGGATAGTCCAGGGAATGGCATCCAGTCCTAAGAAGGGATCTTTATTCAAGGATTTGGACACAGGTTGGCAGCCGTGGGTGCGCACAAATCGACGGCAGGCGAGGAATCGTTTGATAGATGCGAATGCGGAGGTTAAAGTTAGCACTGCAGCGACCAGCACCAATGTCACCTTCAGATGGAACTCCAAGTCAACCGTCATGATCAAAGTTTGTGAGTTAAAAACATTTTGCCCATTGCATTGATATTCAAAAGGTGGTCTGCCTAAAATGCGCCGAGTACGGTTCAGTATTTTGATTGGCCGGTAACCGAATGCAGTGAAGCGCTGAGGCTCAAGGTTACGAGCCAGGTGAGTTACGAAGTTAGGTCTGTGCGCTTCAAGGCCATTTGCTCCCTAAAGAGCCCTATAAAGAAATTTCAAATTTTTGAATACTATAACAATTCCTTAAATTACTATTTAACAATACACTTTAACTTCTGTTTAATCATATTACCCAAGCACAAAAAATAACACTTTGAGATTGTCTGGATTTATTTAGGTAAAGTAGGTGAGTTTGGTTTTTGGATGCCTGAAAAGGAGCCTGAAGTGCACAAACCTAACTCACCAGGCTCGTTACACAGGTTTCACCGTCTCAGCCGCAGACCGCACTCCATCTTTTTCTGTTGTATTTTTGCTTCCTTGTTGTATGTGCTGTCTCTGAAACTCGATTACTGCTAAGGGGCACGAACTTCGCTCAAATTGGACCAGCCTAATGGACGTAAGGAAGCTGTTCGGCCAGAAGCTGTTCGGGCCAAAAGGCAAGTCGGAAGATGACGAGGCTGAGATCAACAAAGCCAAGGTGAGTGACAGAGGCTCTACGAATTTAAAGATCGTAGCGTAGCTAATCTGCTTTTTGGACTGCTTTCAGACATCACCACGACGTGAGAAGTATGGTCTTTTCGACCTATACAGTCCGCCAGCCGAGGAAATCGAGGTCGAGTAAGCACAGTACATGATGGTCCAGTGTTTATAATTGACACCGATCAGCGTTGTTGCAGTTCACGGCCTTAACGGTGATTGGGAAATGACATGGACAGAAACTACAACTGGCAATATGTGGTTGCGAGACTTCGTACCGATACAATGCCCAAAGTTCAGAGTCATGTCATTTGGCTATGATTCGACTTTCGCCCTTAGTCATTCCGAAGCAACCATTGACGATGCAGCACACGATTTGATCAACAGGTTGGATGATGAACGTCAATCTTCTCCGGCGAAGAAGAGACCGTTAATATTTGTCGCTCACAGTCTGGGTGGTGTTGTAGTTAAAAGGGTAAGTGTGACAACAAAACATGACTTTGTTTCTCGGATTCGAAGAACTAACCTCCGAAAGGCACTTATGATTGCAAATGAACGTTCGGCACACTGGGGGCATCTAAGAGACCAAGCAAAGTACGCCATTCCAATTCCAGGTGCTAATCATATAAACATCTGCAAGTTTGATAGCTCGGATGCCCAGAAATACAAACCGGTCAAGGGTGCGCTAGCAAAAATATCTGAATTGGTAGGAATGCCGGAAGCGTCTTGTACGTAATTAGTCGGTATCTTCAAATTTACCCTTTTCACTGGAATTTCATCGTTTACAGAGCAGCAAAATCCGAATGACCAGCTATGTCTATCACTGGCTTTCATCCACACTCAGCTAGCTAGTCGTGTTTGCAGAAATCATTGTACTCAATACTTATTTAATCCGGCCAATAGTGAAATGTTTTATAACTGACGCTCTTTAGCCACACAAGAATTTCTCCCTCGGCAGAACGATTTGCATCGAATAGAGCTCGAATATAAATGTCTCGAAGCACTCCGTGGATCGAGAAACTACGAAGGGAATAAAAACAGAAACACTAAACGCGTCCATAACACATGCCGCTGGGTTCTGAGAAACCAAAAGTTCACTGATTGGCGGGATGGTAAGTCTGTAGGATTGTTGTGGGTATCTGCTGGCCCTGGGTTTGGAAAGTCGGTTTTGACAAGATCACTTGTCGACGAAAGGCTGTTGGGCACATCTGAAGTTGCGATTTGTTACTTTTTCTTCAAAGAAGACGACGAAAACGCCAAGCGATCCACGGACGCTCTAAGTGTCTTGCTGTATCAGCTGCTTGTCAAGTATCCAACATTAATCCGGCACACTCTCTCCTATGGCAAAGATCCCAAGCAGCTACTTGCTCAGTCAATTCCTACGCTCTGGAACGTTTTAGAAGAAATCGTCAAAGACCCCACCTCTCCGCAGCTAGTATTTGTAATCGATGCCCTGGACGAGAGCGTAGACAACGGGAAGCCCATAATCGAGAGACTGGTAGAGTTCTACTCCCCAAATCAGCCATCGCCCAAATCCGCTATCTCTAAACTTAAGTTCTTGATCACCAGTCGTCCCTACATCAGTATCCAGAGAAGCTTTGGAAATCTCGCCCAAAACAACGATAGTATACATCTATCGGGTGATCGCCACATTGCTCTCCTACGAGAGGAGATAAAACTCGTCATGGAAAGTGAGCTACATTTGATAGAGGAGAGTTTAAGACTCCCAAAGCAGGTCATCACACTTTTGAAGGGTCGTCTTTCGGAGAATGAAAACCGAAATTACCTCTGGTTGCACTTAGTTCTTGAGCTTATCAAGAAAAGTGTGGGGGCAACAACAGTAACCGGTGCACGAAAGCTTATTGCACAATTGCCAAAAACAGCGGAAGATGCATATGAAGCCATACTACGAAAAAGTTCCAACAAGGACGAAGCTGCGAAATTGCTTCACATCATTGTTGCTGCTGTTCGCCCTCTCACCGTTGCAGAGATGAGAATTGCTATTGCAATCGATGAACTCACTCAAAGCCACAAGGATTTGGACCTTGAAAGTATCTCAAACTTCGAAACAACCATCCGAAATCAATGCGGACTCTTCATTACCATTAGTGATCAAAAGATCTACCTTGTGCACAACACTGCAAAGGACTTCCTACTAGCGGCAAAGACTGCTCCACTTTCAACCATGAACTCGAACTCTGGCCGCTGGAAAAACTCGATAGATCCTTCCAAGTCTCACGAAATACTTTCTTGGGCGTGTATTAGATATCTTTGCTTCTCCGACTTCAAGAAGCCAGAGAATAACTCGCAACGGCCAGATCATCAGGTGCAGAGCTCAGAAGTTGCAGAGGACGAGGAATTGAGCAGTCTAGAAGAGCATTATGCTGATGCTGATGATGATGATGATGATGAAGCTTGCAACAGTCTCGACTCAATGACTGTTTATGACCCACGCCACTGGGACGATCTTCTCCTAAAAAAGCGTTTTCAGAAACATCAATTCCTTGAATACGCTTCTCCGCATTGGTTGTCTCACTTCCAAATGGCTAATCCTTGCGATGTAATGCTTCAACAGTCTCTCAGACTGTGTGAGGTTCGCTCAGATTTATGCACAAACTGGTTTGAAGTCTTGCCTGTCAGAGAGGGACGCGATTTGACTTTCTTCAAGCAGTCATTCAACCACTCTAAAGTTTACAGAGGCATGGATCTTGTATTTTGTACATTCATGGGCAATACACGTGTTACAGAGTATTTGCTTATGTTACTCCCACATTTGACAGCAGACCCTGAACTAAAAATCGGAAAGGATGATGTGGACCGTATCATACTGGCTGCACTTTACTTCGCCGTTGAAGAAGGAAGGAGTGACATGATCCGGATCTTACTTTCAGCTTCTGAAACAAACATGAGTAATATGATTCTATTTTACGAAACAGCTGGAGAATATCATGAGATCATAGATCTCGCAGGTGGTAATGAGCTTACAGCACTGAGGCTAGCAGTAAAAAGTGGACAGCACCATCTTGTTCCGCTGTTGTTGGAAATGGGTGCCGACCCAAATGTCAACGGCAGTTCCACCATTCTTTCCCTTGCTTGCATTAAGCCAACGGAAGCATTGGTAAAGACGATAAAGCTACTATTGCGATACGGCGCTGATATCAACAAGCTGGATTTTTCTGGCATCTCTCCTCTGTACAAAGCGATCATTCTCTGTCTTCCAGAGAGTATAATTCGTCTCATAGAAGATGCCGGTGGAGTCGTGACACAACCTTGGTCAAGCGGTGCATCGGAAACGAACTCGTACTGGGGATGGGAAGTCGCTAGATTGAACAACTAGATTTGGCTTGCGTGGATCCTATTAGTTCCATAGGTAATCCTTTAGTGCCTGCGTCAGGAGTTAGGAGCTTGTATTTGGTCTATGGATTGCGAACTTTTTCACTTAGCTCTTTCTGGTTGGATGTATTTTCAAGCTGAATAGACCTCGCAATACCCAAAAGTTGATCTTTACATCAGCCGAGGTGAATATAAGAAAAGTATACAACGATTTTGTCTTTCGTCCATAGATACATGCCATCATCAGAAATCTCAAATATATTGACTACATTTTGGTTTAGTCCCGTAAGATATTTGATTTTTTTTAATGTGATAATTTTTGCACCAGCATCACGTGCAAATCCACAGTGGTGTGGCTACTTATTTCCCTTGACATCTCCAAGACAGGCATGATGAAAAGCATAGCGTAAGCAAATCAATCTTTTCTTTTCTATGTACTAAATACCAAACCTCGCTAAGAAGTTTCCAAGCACAAGACCTCGTTTATATTTCCCCCACATTCAGCCTCAATGCACTCAATGCGGTGCCAGGGAACTTTAATCTATCTAGATTCTACCCACACATCCAACCATGAGGAAGTATCTAGTGCATCTTCTTCCAAAAATGAATTTTTATGTGACAGGGTTTCATTCGGTTCCAACATGATATGTAAATACAAGAACGCCGCCATCTTCAAGACTTCCGCTATGCAACAACATTAAGTGTCCACCACCACATCGCAGAGTCTCGCATCTATGCCTCAAAGCGCTTAGAAGCACCACCAGTCCAGACAGCTGGGCCAGGGGGAGTATAAGTCGTGGCCGTCGAGCTGTAGATATCGATCTGAACCGCAAATCAGCCAATGTTCATCGGATCACTGAAAAGACAACCTTACCATAACACCCGGGTCGCTAGAAGTAGCATATCCCGGGATACTTGTCAAGAACGAACCAGATGGAGTTTGTGTTCCACTTCCCGTCACAGTAAGCTGGGCACATTCTGGATAAAACTGCGGTGTGTTCGCTTGATGCAGAGCCAACAGCTCATGTCTGATGAGATAGTTGCCCGGTGCAAGAGCCTTTGGAATAGTGCTCGTATAAGCAAGTTTGCTATATACGATTGCGGTTCCCCACGAGGTGCCGGTCAAGGGAGGAGCTGTCATGCCCGTTTGGTCGATCTTGAACCAGCCTTTGCCTTTGCCGTCACAGGCTTTGAAGGTCCCGGCACACTTGTACATCCAGACCATAACTGGGCCTTGTTGATGTGTCCACTGAGCCCATTTGGCGGTTATAGTGGAACCAGCTTCGATAGTTGCGTTCAAGGCTGCAGATGTGCCCGTGTTACATAGCATTTTGGCATCAGAGACGGACATGATGGGGTTGTAGTCTGGCCATTGTCGTTGGATTGTGGGTGGAGATGAAGCGGGGCTGAAGCCTTGGTATCTGAGTTCTGTCAGTTGATGCCCGATTATAATTAATCATCATGAATTACCCTGGGTATGTTGTGCTTCCGATCACGTATGAAGTGACAGCACCATGAGCCGCGGCTTCTGCAGCAAGCAGAGCTACCATCGAGAAAGCAGTAGAGAACAACATATCGACGAGATCAAGACCCAGATGTGTACAAGAAGCGGAAGAATCGAGGTGTGTGGCGTGAGGAACCTTCCCTCGGGCAGCTTGGCAGTATTTATGGGCGTACAAACAACCCCAGATTTTCCTTCCCCACAATAAGATCATGTGCCATAAAAGGCAATCTATATTGTTCATCCTGCGTGATATTAACATGGGGAATCTGGGGTTAAATAGAACCCTCCCAATACTGCCGGCCTGCGGTCCGAACAATATATTGGCAACAATTTGTGGTAGGCCAATAAACAGCGTGTTTGTGCGATATTGTTCTTGCCACCTTCCTTGGTACCGGCATCTAAGAAGCTTGTTTTGCTCGGCAGATATATCATGGGGTATAATGTAGATTGTGATGACGGAGAAGAATGAATATGTGGGTGCGCAGCCTGTATTGAATCGCTGTACGACAAACTTGAAGATGCAGCAAGTAGAATCACGCATGGCAACTATATGAAATATGATGAATTCAGCCAATTGGTCAATGTAGGCGCCTTGGCCAGAAAGGTGACGGAACGAGCACTCGTTTCAAGTCAACAATTCCTTCTGGGCAAGCAGCATCTCACGTCGATGTGCTAGGAGCTTGAAAAAATTAATTACCTCACTCTCTACAATTACAATGGGAGAACATAAACGTACAGAAGCACAGCTAAACGGTCCCGGTGGCTAGAGAAGAATCATAGCCAGACTTGCTGATGATAGAGGGAAGTAAAGCATGCGATAGCATTATCTGACCTAGAAAGGAAACAAATGTGCCCCGCGAAGAAAAGAGCATTTATTCAGGAAAATATATATGATCCCCCAGTAAACACTATGGCAACAGGATTGGTGAGCCATATTGCAAGCAAAATAATATGTGCACTCGGATCTCTTATGAGGGATGCGTCTCGTCCTCGGAACGTCGGCTTCTCAACAGATGCTTCGACCAGTCCAGTCTTCTTCGAATCCTCGCCTTCAGTTGTGAGATCCATGTTCTTCATCTAGACACACCTGACCGCTTCTAGTCCGCTGGGTCGTTAGGGTCATCGACGTATTAGAGCTATCAAGGGCTTCTGATAGGCCTAATCTATTTCCGGATTCTCGGATGTCTTTGTCTGTTGACTTGTTGACTCTTAGCTTGTGATTATACGAGGCGACCCCAAGCACAGCCTGTTCACACAATCTATCCTGCCAAAGCTTTCCCGATCAGCTCTTTGCTGGACTCAGACATTGGTATCTTCAGAGCCAACTCGTGTCCCTTCTCCGACATCTTTCCCCACGTCTTCCTCAGTATGTCAATAATCTTCTTCTCATCGTGTTCCTTCTCAAAAGCGTCAAATTGATCATCCAAGAACACCAGACACGCGACATCTTCCAATATCTGCGTCTCCTCATTCTTCTTCAAATCTTCCTTCCGTATCAATTTCGCGACCTCTTCCGCTTCCTCTGTTGTGAAATTGCATCCAATACAGATCGCAGATGCAAGGTCTGCCTGTCGCTTTTTCAAGAATGTTCTCCAATTCAAGTATCCGACTTTCGTCATAGGGTAGGAGTCTCGAGGGATTTCCCATCGTCTAAAGTGTTGGGCTCGGATTGCGACTTTGAGAATAGGGGAAGCATCGGGAGCTCTTTGTTCGAGGTAGTGTGTCATTTTCTGCGCGTAGTGGAGCTCGTACGGTACATCGTGGCCATCGACAATCGTAATTTTTGGGTCTTGAGCATGGGCCTCATCTATTAAGGAGATAGCGGCCTGGATAATTGAGTTAATAAGTTCAATGGAATACTCGGTTCGGATCCGAGGTGTCCAAAACTCGATCAATTAGGAACAGTGCATGCATCAGACAAGAGAGCTTCCAGAGCTTCAGGAGAGCTCGAATGAGCTGAATGGTCTTACCTCGTAGTTCGTCGCTGCCATTGTATGAATATGCTGCTGATCCTCAAATGTTTCAATGGATGCTAAGAGTCGTACAACAGAAGAGTCGTCGATAGAGTTGGAGCTTACTCTTGTCAAGCTGAGGTTAAAGTTGCATTTCGTCGACTTGGACGCGGGGTAAAAGCAAAGACTGCACGTGACTGCGGGGTAGTTTTCAAATCTCGGACACGGAGTCATTTCCTCTTTGATTGAAAGTTACATATCACAATGAAAGAGGGAATCATCTTCTGAAAGTCAATTCTAGAATGGACAAGCTTTTTCTTCTTGATAGCAAGCATGCATTCATCTGCTCTGCGCATTTCAATGCCGTCTTCTCTGATTACCTCTCATATCCAAAACATCTTACCTCCAAAGCAGAGTCTCAACATGTCTTTCAACTCAGATGACAGTCGAGGATAGACTAGTACAGATTCGTGAGATGGAATCAAACTTCTCGAGCGGTGTTCTCCCCATTCCACACTCAGTTGCAATTCCATATTTTTCAACCACTTTTGATGCAGACGCCATCCTTTTTCGACTCCCTTCTTCGTCATTCGCATGTACAAGTCCTAGATAGAGCTCGGTCGATCCAAAATCCACATCCTCAAGTGGTTTGAAATATTCCAAATCGCCTCTATCTTTGGGAACGGGCATATGAATCCATTCGACCGCTCTCTTGACATTCTTCAGAATCGCAGAAGAAAGTTTCGCCAGGAGACCCAAATCTTGAGGCTCAAGGAAGTGCTTGTTGCCCATATCTCCATATCATAAGTGATACCCAAGTTCGACATCAGGACGAACGGCTTCAGATTGTGTCACGATCCTCTCCAAGATTCCATCCCAAACGGGTTCGAAATATGGTTTGAAATGGGGCCAGTACGATTCCTCTAGGGTAGGAATCTCGTTTGCAATGTCGATCTGGATGGCCAGATCTTCATTTGGGATTTCTTCCTGGATTCTCTTCATTTCTTCCAGCAGTTCTTTCTCATAGCAGGGTTCAACAGCAAGCTGAAACCCCTCTCTGATGAGGCACATGGTCGCCATCGTTGTAGGAAGCGAAACTTGGAATCTTACACCTTTCGGAATAATGCATTCTTCTCTCAGTTTCTTGAACACAAGATAAGAATCAAGAGCCGCATCAGCATATCCAGGCTTCAAAGGTGGCATGCCATTGACGATCTCCTTGACTTCAGACGCGGTCACCTCTGGCTGCGGAACAGTGTTATACGAGGCATCATACTTTCGCTTCACGGCCGGCGTGTGGTCGAAGACATCTACTTGCCATCGTATGAAGTACTGGCGATTGGCTGGTTCGCCATCTGGGATGCGACGAAGTCGTGACGGAAATGCTTGACAACACTTTCGAAATGAGGCCTCAGCCGAAGTTGCCCCACATACGCTTCCCACAAGATGAACGCCGAGTGCACTTGTCATTATCCCAGTAGAGAAGTGGTTGAAATATCCTGAAGTCAGATTGGTTTCCACAGGAAAGGAATGAGTCTGAGAATTTTCACGGTCTGTTATTCTGAACTTCTGCGCTTCCGGGGACATTTCTTTACGTGCTTTAGTTAAATAGACAAAGTTCTCCACGTCGGTCCCGACGTCTTTCGTTGTTCGGCCTCAGTCAAAGGCCGAAAGTTTACTTTTCGGCTCAACCTTTAAGTTCAAAATCATTGATCCTTTAAGGTCTCGCTTGATTGCCATCTGTATTTTGAAACTCCAGACATGTCTTGGTCACTATGCGTTTGAATTAGTGAGGCAGTGCATCTCACTTGGGGACGAATACGAGGTTGTCTGCATCGACATCGTCTACAATCCTGTTCAGAAGCATAATACATAGAAGTTCGACTTACAAATCAAGTTGAAGCAAGATGCTAGGACATAATATACAACCCAAAAGAAAACACAGACCGTCCAACACCAAGTAATGCATATCAAAACCCCCACAAACAGTCACACAACAAACACCTTCAATGTCTCCGCCTTCTATGCCTCCTCTCACCACGATCCCTATCCTCATAATCAACATCCCAAACCCACAGTCGCCTCCTCTCGTCCCAGTACGACTCCCTCTCCCTCTTCCGCTCCTTCTCCAACGCCGCCAGCCTCTCCCTCTTGACAAACTTCTCGCTCTGCCAATCCAACGCATAATCCTTCGGCACCCAATTCTTCAACTTAAACGCCAATGGCACTCGACTGTCAACATTCTGATCGTAAAGTCCGACTTTCTTGTGCACCGAGCGATGTAACGGATACATCTTCCGAGAAGATACGCCGAGACATGCGGATGAGACAGGGTCGAGGACTTCTATGATGTTAAGTTTGAGTTCATTCGGGAGGTCGGTAAGGCGGGATCGGTGGTGGTGGTGGCGGGTCGATTCGGGTGGGGCGTGATAATAGGAGCGACTTGTGTGCGCTACATTTGTGTTAGCATTTTGTTTTGGGTTTGCTTTGAGAGTCGTACTTCTTGGAGTGTGGTAGAATAAAGCGGCCGAGATCGAGGGACGAGCTTGCCAGTGAGAAGGTTTCAACGAATTCGAGGTGCGTCTTAATCCCCATCTTCTTCTTGGTGGCTCTAAAGGTGCCTTGTATGGGTGGTAAGAAGAATAGTAATAGGACATGATTGGCAAATGCTTGATGCTCGCTTGTATCTTGGAAGTGGAGAAGATGCACTACTAACAACATTCAAGTACAAAAGATACGTGGTATGCTCCTATCCGTCAAGATTCACATCTCAGAGTCAGTCTAGCAGGAATGTCTTGTTTATAGGACTCAGTCCAAGAAACATCTCGAGGAAGATCGTATCGCAAATCCACCTCACCACAAGAGCAAGTCACAACTCATCCCATCTCACATCACCTTCCCACACCGAAATATCGCGGAACCTCCATCGTTGCTTGACCATGAAAGTTGGTCTTACAAAGTTGCATGCAAGCCAATAAGGTATCAAGGCCGGCAACCAAAAGCAGAACCCAATGACCCTTTCAGGATGTCAGCGAAAGCGCAGCCTCGTCACCAGTTCAGCCTGAGCCTCATGAGCAAGAGGTGCGCATGATTGGTTGGCCTGCTGACCAGTTGTCTCGCTCCATGAAGCGGAGGGTCACGAAAAGGCGTCCGCGTGACCCCTTTTTCGTTCTCGGGTAGGTCACGTGCTGACAAATATCTCTGGGTGAAGAAGCTGTCTGCCTGATTGTTTTCGTGAGGATTTTTCTCGTTATGGTTGTCGAAATTCATTATCTCTTTCACCGATCAAGCCGAGATGATCTCCATCGCGGAAATATTCTCATCTTTCAAACAGGATCTAGACTTTCCGAATCTTGGGACTTCCTAACGGCATTAGCTTTGTTGAGAGGCTATCGAATTTGGTTTTGCCACAAAGAATACGTTATTACTTTGATGCAGAATATGTCGAAGTAAGAAAACAAATTCGACGCAGTACTAACTGACGAGTGGATGGCACGGGGAGCTCTGGCACGTGAACTCGGAGACGAGTTGGTGGTACTGTATACGAGCAACCAACATTCACCTTCAGGGTGGCCATAGTCAGGAAAATCTGGGAGACGACCAGAGTCCCTTTCCCATGTTGTCTTACTTACCACTTACCCCTGAGCCTATCACGTGCGACTTGCACCGTGCTGAACACTGTCGATCCTCGACGCGTTACGCGTCTCGCTCATCAACATAATCCTCCATTCGATAAGAAGAAAACATTATTCCTTTGCGCGTCATCTTCCAATTGAGTTCTCATGTGGTATTGATTGAACATGCCACCGAAAAGAAAAGCGCCTCTGGCCACGTCGGACAACAATATTCCCACGAAGAAAGTCGCGAAGGGGAAGAAGAGTGTCACAGCCCAAAGTTCTTCGGTAGCAGGTCCAGCTAAAAAATATAAGTTCTCGAATCCTAGTACTGTACGTAGGTCTTCCTCTGTAAGTGCAACCCAACTGATGCTTGCGTATAGCTTGTTGGCCAAGAACCTGTTGATGTTATCACGTTCTTGTGGGGGGACGATACGTCCGAAGAAGAGACAGAGGACGAATATGAAGTTGAAGATGCAGCGGAACCTGGATCTTTGCAGTATATTCTAGATGGCATAGAGAACCAAAGGAGCGCCTTCATCCAGGAGCTATTGAACCCGTTACGAAGTATAAGTCACGAGATTTATGCTCCGAAAAAGGCCCAAGCTTCCGAGAAGTATGACCCACTGGTGAAAGAGGCCCGAGAAAAGTTCGTCGAGGCCGGGACCATGACAGCCGAGGAAGCTGAGGCAATTGTGGGCGTAGATGATGGTGACAAGAAACAGAAACGGATAGCAAAGCAGGCCTTGCAAAGAGTTGTGAACAAGGCGGAGAAAGAGAGACTGGCTGCAGTAGAGCTTGTCTTGAAGGGTATTGAGGGGAATAAAGCTATGCTACCCCGAGTTGCACGCGAATTTGCCGCAGAAGCGTCAAGACCCTGGCTAGAGAAGATGGAAGAAGCTAGAAAGTACTGGATGGAAACCACGTATCCTGCACGGAGATTGACTACAGAAGAAGCAAATGCGATCACTCCGGATCTGAAAGCGGAAGAGGAGCGTGAAGCCAAGGAACATAAGAAGGCTGAAGAAGCCCGAGAACGACGAGCAAAAATCATTGTTCCCCGAATCGTTACCGACAAAGGATTCCCCGTCACCAAAGCAGGCATAAAAAGGTTTCGCGAGATGAATCTGGAGGTGGATAAGCGGAATCCGGACCTGCACGACATGTACATTTACAATGATTTCCTCGGTTATGGAGTCAAGGAAATCTTGGAGAACGCCGTGAGTTGCACCTAGCCTCCAGAAAACACAGTCTGCTTCAAATTTTGCATCTCAGCAACCCACAAACTTTCTTGCTAAAGTTCAGTAACAGCTTATCGAATTCAACAAGATCATCTTCAAGCAGGATATCTCGCCCACAGAGAAATGGGCTCTTGTCGAAAGTGTCACTTTGTTTCTGACTAGAGGTGACTCCGACATGATCATGGGTATGCAGCCCCCTTATTGAGTTCATTTTCTTTTTGCAAGACATCAGCTAATCTCTTGCTAGCTATCGATGATCCCGACTCCGTCGAGGAAGCCTTCGACATGACAGGCGTCATGTTCATCACAGCACTTGAGATGCTCCACGAGCACAATCTCATCGGAACCAAAGCCCCTCTACCCGATAACTCAGGTGTGATGACACTCCTATTCCTTGAATTCATGAGAAATACTGCCGGGGATTTCGAGCTCCAGTGGGTTCACGAAATTGTGCGATCAGCAGATCTATATGGTGTCAACTTGAATTCAATTCCACAGATCGCCATCGACGAGCTTGTTCTAGATGAGTACAGAGATACGTGTGATTTGGAGAAGAGGGGTAAAGGATTTGCTTGGAAGACCGAGGTAGGCTATCTTATTTCCCTGATCTTAGATTCAATTTGAGCTAATAGTGCTGCGACAGTTTCCTAAATTCAAAAGAACACATCCAGGTGGCCATGAGTATGATATCACGAAGATGTCAGAGTTTGAGAAGGCTCAGTATTCATTTGGTAACGGAGACGATTCGGACTAGGGGATCTGTCATAATCTCATTCAGGATATCTGGGTTTTTGAACCCAATCTATTGGGTATACTATCTAGTTTGGCTTTCTATTCCCTCTACAAGCAACGATCAGGTGCATCATAAAAGTGTTTGATTATATGAAGTGGGGGACTTGTACAAGTACTTTGTAAGAACACACTAGAAATTCTCTTGACACCTACTCAGGGTGCTTTCACTCTTTGTTTTTAGTACGTTTATGAATACAAACTTTCTAAATCACGATTTCCTCATCCACCAGGCCACACTTGCTGATCCTACCGCCCCCACCACCAGCGCAGCCTTCTTCAACACCCTCATCATCGAAATCTTCAAGCTAACATTAATCCTCCTCTGCAACTCCTCCGAATCATTGATCCTCGGAAACGGAACATCCGGCACAGGAACATCCAGAAACCTACACAAAGGCTCCCACCCCTCCTGCAACCCAAAAACCAACAACTTCTCCTTCGGCGTCCACACCTTCACATTCTGGTAATGCTCCCTATAAACCCTCTTCGCATTCGCCTCAAACTCCACCTGGTTCTCCGCTTTAAACCAGCCTTTAACCAACAACCTCGTCATGATCTGGAACTGACCCAAGTGATAATAATCCAGCATCGCGATGTAATAAAACACGTCCCAGAACACATTATTCGTGGCTGTCGTCGTGAACGATTTATACCATGACTCGATCTCGCGCTCGACAAGGATGACTTTCGCTTCGGGGTATGCTGCGATGAGCTCCTGGGAGAAGGCAATGCAGGGCCAGTCGGACAATCCTTCGTATTGTCCGAGGAGGTTGTCGAATTCTTGCCGGTCGAAAGGGGCAGTGTTTGGTGTGGGCCAGTATTTGGTGCGCAGGCCGCGCTGCCACATCAGGAGGTCGTGGCTCTGGGTGAAGATTGTGAAGCCGTGAGCTACGGGTTGGATTCCCAGGATCTCAAGTGCACGTTGGATTGCTATGAGGGGTGAGTTTTAAGTACATGGATTCATGGGAATGGGATTTTATTACATGTTGTTCCCGTTCGTATCATGCTTAGATTCAAGACTTTCATTGGGACGGTTCGTTGTCTTGTCTGCGGGTCTATTTGCCGATCTTGAGCGTACAGCTCTGGGTATTTCTCGTAATCACTCATCGTTCGAATTTTTGTCTTGGAATTGAAATGTAAGTATTCTGAAGCAGTACTCAAATCATTTACATATTGATCCGATCATTTGAGCTGCGAAGTCATGGCAAGAGAACTTAATGAAATGCGACGTTGCTGCGCTTGGGATCGGTGTCAGCCAGAAGCTACAGTGACATTTGCCGAGGCCCTCGTTCTTTTGCACCAATGAAGTCAATTAATCGTCTTGAAAGCTGAAAGCCGTTGCGAAAATCACGACCTGTATTGTGAGAAGGATTTCTGAAGCACAAATAAAGTGGAGCCAATACGCGTATTTCACAAGAGGCCAACCCAAACTGCATGAAAAGTGGTTAAGATTTTCTTTGCGTTTTTATCTGATGGGCGCACCACAGTGACTTCTTACCTTCGATTTTAATATAGTGCAATGCTGATAACTGGGCGAGCTCTACCGAAAATCGAAGAACTTCAAGTGAGCAAAGTTGTGAGATAGGGGAATATACTGATCCCTAAACATCAGAAATTTAGGAAAGTTGCAGACACGGCCAAAGTAGCATCTATCACAGTTTCTTGGTAAGACATTGTGTAAAAGATCAGGCAGTACGGCAATGTTCGTCAGAGGAACTGATACTTGTCGAGCAGATACTCCCGCAACATCAATCCCACCTCCCCTCCAACAGTTCTCCCACTGGCCTGAACAAATGATCCGGTTGCGTGATCCACTGAATTATCTTGTTCAGGCTCGCGACATGTCCTTCAGCTTCTTCCAAGCTCAACTGAGCATCGTCCCAAGTCGCCAAAACGCAGAGTTCATCCGCACTCAGCATGCCAGCTTCCCAGAAGAATCCACTGCGATCGTTAGCTGTCCGACAACCTCATATAAAGTAAGGACATACCAGTCGGGCCAATCAACTCTATCAATAAGCTTCATGCTCGTTAAATCAACATCTCCATATGAATTGCCGCTTTTCAGATACTGAAGACTAATGTCCCAGTTAAACGTCTGTCTCATCATCGCATCCTGTACAAAAGGTCCTTCCACTCCGAGTTCATCCATGACTCTAAACATCGGAGCATGAGCGTGGAGGCTGAGCTCCTCTTGATCTTTCTGAATCCGCTCAAGAAGATGCTCCACTGTCTCGTCTGGCAAAATCCGAAGCATGTTCGCGGTCCACTCAATCGTGGGACCATCGATACTCATTGCAGGAGGAAGCGGAATCCAAGCTGGCATAAATGGCCAGCTACGTCCAGCATCAATGGTGGTGAGAATAGCATATTCTTGATCAGTTTTTAAGACATTGAAGAGAGCGATTGCAGTCTTGACAACGATGTATGGCTGGATGTTTTTCGCCTTCAAAGCTGCGAGGTGAGGCACTTTTGATTTTATCCAGACTCGGGGATATCTTATAGGTTCTGCTTTTCTGGACTTTATCCGAGCCTCTCCGTGTTCCGAGTCAACATCTCTACCTATCATCCATCCAGGAGCTCGTTGAGGGGGCCAAAATGCCTTGGTTTGCTTGCTGATTCCTGACAATCGTTTAACGAAGTACTGCACATCTAATGTGGCTGGCATGCTTTCACGATGAGAATAAGCCATGTCAGCGAAGAGCTTGAAAGGCGTTGCGGAAAGCAGCGTGATGTTCGGATCTCCGATTAGAAGGTCGAGATCTCTCATCCATGGAACCATCGACATTGCATCAAAGACAGAATGATTATACGAAAGGATCAACGTTGTGGAGTCTTTGGAATGAGCAATGACTGCTTGAACCATTTGGAGGCGCGAGAAGGATGCTCCAGAATCATCCAGGATAATTTCTTGGGTGGCTTTTTCATCGCATTGCTTTTCGGTGATAAGAAGCTTGAAGAGAGAACTTCCTGGCCGAATAACAACGTGAACAGGAGTATTGTCTGAAAGCTTCACAAGAAGAGCCCGGAACAGAGGCCTCGAAGCAAAGCCTTTTTCTAAAGCTCCACGAATAATCTCCGGGCTTTTCCCGTCTACTCGGAAAGCAATTCTGTGTCGGTAAGACTGCGGTCGTGGTCCGTCTACAACACCATAGAACAAGTCTTTGATTGGAATGACATCCTCGACGTCGTTGTCCCACGAGAGTTCAAGCTTTTCAATCGCTTTGGACGTTGCCATTCTCGTTTCGATGAATCGTTGAGGGTCGCCATTAGTATGAGCCATATCGGCAATGCCAGGTGGTCCGTCCTTGGTACGATTTAGTTCGGTCGCAGATAAAACTAAAGGAGACTCTGCTCACACCTCGTGTTAGTAATTTAGTTCAAGAATGAGTCTCAATGAGATGTACAGACCTGTAGCTCCACCTTCCGCTGTGCTTTCGCCTCGACTTTGTAGCAGTTGCGCTTGTTTCTCAATGGTCTCATGCTTAACGAAGTCTTGAAGATAAAGTTTCTTTCCGAGGGCTCTCCACACTTTGTCACAATACCTCAAAAGAGATATGCTGTCCGCGAAATCATACACGGAGTCATCCTTCGAAGGTGAATTGACCACCAAGGTGGCCCAGATCTCAATGAGTTGTCGAATGGTCTCTTCGTTTTCCGATAAATCTTCATCACTCGAGGACGGCGTAATAAGACTGTCGAGCGTATTCGAGTCAGAAGCAAATATTGACGCAGGGGTGGCAGGCGGTGTCAATATATCCGGTGGACTTGACTTGTTGGTGCGCGATTCCGGTTCCGGCTCGGGTTCGGGTTCGAAGTATTTAACTAGCAGTTCTTTCAAAACATTTTTTCGTACTTTGCCAGCAGAAGTCAATGGGTATTTCTCGATGCCCAGCTCTTCTAAAGTCACGATTGCAGCGAGTGAATAGCTTTGCCCAAGTGGCTGCACAAGATGCATTATCTCTGCCTTCGTTCGAGACATGAGGGATTGAACCTAGAAAATAGTGAGTTGATATTCTTTATGCAGTATAGGATATGGTACAATATAAACCTACCACAGCAACTGGAACTTCACCAGCAATGTTATCAGGGACGCCAACAACTTGTGCCTAGCAGATGGTGAGTTATACTACAGACATATCTTGTTGGAGGAGTAGCGCTGACCAGTACACCTGGAATCTGTCCCAAGCACTCTTCGATTTTTGCAGGTGAAATGTTCTCCCCACCCCGGATAATTAGATCTTTGTACCGACCAAGTAATTGAACAACGCCATTGTCATCAAGAACTGCCTGGTCTCCTGTCTTCAGCCAGCTTCCGTACTCATCAGTGTAAAACGCTTCGGGATCGGCGCCGTCCAAATAACCAGATATCACAGAAGTTCCTCCCATGCGTAGCTCGCCCGGAATATTCCTTTTTACAACCTCACGACTTACAGGCGCGCATATACGGATGCGGCTGCCAGGAAGAACTTTACCAACACCTGGATAACTGTGTATCTTAGGTCAGTTGATGATTATGGAAAGGAAAAAGAGAGACGACAAAGAGTTACTTACTGTCCAGATGCAAGCAGAGGATCATCTCTGAGCCAACTCAGAGTAGGTGCACCTTCACTCATCCCATACACTTGCATCACAGCATCACTACCTAGTCGTTTGCACATCTGTATATCCTCCGCTTTAATCAACGTCCCACCAAGAGACATATAATGCAACGCTAATCTTTCCTTCCCCGGAAACGCAGGCAATGACAACAACCCCTGAACCAAGGTTGGGACAGCGGACATACGAGTACACTGATAAAGTTCCAGGGCCTTCAAAGAAGCATGAATGTCGAAAGTTTTCGATGCAAACACAACAGTTCCACCATATCTAAAAGAGCGCAAAGCATTATTCACCGCGAAGACATGTGAGACTGGAGTGTGGACAAGCCACTTTTCGACCATGTTCGGATCTTTGTCGGGATCGAAGTCATAGCTTTCTGACCAAAGATTCGCTGCTGTATGACAACATCCCTTAGGGGTAGCTGTTGTACCGCTGGTAAAAACAATGAGAGCCAGGTCTTCACCAGGAGATGGTGCATTCTTGAACGGCGAAGCACGTGATCGATTGTTTGAAAGCGTGCTGAGGGAGGTCCACGACTTTGACGGCGATGTTGTACATGATATGCGAGCTTTCGAGCCTTTGAAATGAGAAGACACACTTTCCAAAGTTGCGGCCGCTGCTTCGTCTTGCACCACTATTACAGACGGTCTCAGACGCAAAATGTATTCATCAGCAGTCTGCTCCAGAGTGCGTGGATCTAGAGGAATGAAAGGCATCTTCAATCTTGCAGCAGCCCAGAAGAAGATCACCCATTCAGCTGAGTTCCAGACAAAAGTGACCTAGAACATTGTTAGCTCCCGCCATAAATCGACATTGGCCGAAAACTGAAGAACTCCTATTTATGATACGAGTTCATTTTATTCACTTACAAGATACTCTCCCTCGCAACATCTACTCTCCTGGAGCCATGCAGAGATAGTCTCTACAGCACTGAGGAGCTCTTCATAGCTCCACTGAAACACGACTTCCTCATGCGACGATGGAGAGATTCTGTCGAGACTCGTCGGATCATGTTGTTGCAAGAGATTATTGAGATGGCGCTTTGGCTGCCAGAGAGAGGTAACGAACATGGGGACAAAAGTCCGTGCGTTCAGGGCATCAGAATCATGAATTTTATTAATTAATTAGCTGTAGACCAGCCACATCGCTTAATTAAG